GGCCTCTTTGTTGGAAATAATACAAAACATGGGTTTTAATGTAAGCAACAATGTGATTTGAACCCAAGCATTTAGCACAGTCTTGCTCACAACTAACACGTGTTTAGCCACTTGCGCCACTGTGACTTTCATAAGAAATGCCGCTGTTTGGGTCGCTTTGTTGGATATAATGCAAAACGTGAGTTTTAAAGTAGGCAATAGTGGGATTTGAACTAAGGACTCTGGGTGAATGCGTTTGTATTTCAGTTTGAAATGTGATCAAATATAACAAGACATGACAAAATAAAACAACTGGATTTTAATTAAGTTTTATGTACTAAAGGCAAACAATTATCTTGTAAGCCACAAATTTTGTAAATAATTGACTTTCCTTTTGTGTTTTTGTAAAATGCAGAGTTGGGATTAGGACCCAGGCTCTTAACTCTCCACACAAACACTCATACCACTGCACCGCTGGCAACTTCTTACAGTGAAAAAATAACTTAGAAGAATAGTCTGAGTTGCATGTGAGTGAAACAACCCTAATTAACATCATTATTTAGTTAGAGTTAGAGCTAAACGCAACAGTTTAAGTCATAGATCTTAGTCACACAAAACACACACAAACTTTTGACTGAAGATCTTTTCATCTTCTATGAGACTGATGAGCATTACAACTTATTTATTATATTTATCATGAATGAATGAATCATATTCAGTGTTTTTTTTACTCATATCCTGTTATGAGCTGATTGTCATTTTGTTGTTGGCTGGCTGCTGTTATAAGTGTTACCGCTGATTTCACACCAGGTACATCTGTTCAGATGTTCGAGTTTTATTGTGAGTGAATTGTACAGATTCAGTCACTGAGCACAAGAGTCACTCAAAGAGACACCAGAACATCAAATGAGCTCAGAGAGACTTTATTCACATTTGACAATACATTTGTGACACAACATTATTAATGCATCAGGAAGATCTTATGGATGTGAAAAAGACATTGTAATATCCTTCAGGGACAAACAAACACACCATTGAACTTTTAACATATAATAGCATTTCAGACAAGGAGATGGAGACATAAACCTCGAATGTGTTAACAGTCAAAATGTTATTAATTTAATATAACAGTTCATAACATGAAGCAATTACAACGGTTTTATAACGGTTAAATAATTTAATGAGATTGCTTTAAATATTCAAATAAGAAACGTTAGAAAGAAGCACAGTAGTATGTTTTAAACATAACACTAAACCGCCAGTAGGAGGCGGCAGGTGACCGTCTTAATGAGCCAATCATTGATTCATTCATTCAAATGATTTGTTCAAAAATGCTGAATCATTTATTAATGAAAACACGTGCGAGTGTTGCTGTTAGATGTATATGGTTCTGTGATGTTTGGAACTATTTTCGCGGCTAAAACAGAACAACAACCGTCAATATTGTATCTAAAATGTAAGTGACTTAATTTGAACTGTTTATTGAACTGTTGTATGAAATCAATGTCACATTTTCAATCCTGATGATATTCAGGAAAACAGCACTCGTTGTGTGAGGTCTAACTGTATCATGCAGTTCTACTCGTCAACGGTATCGTTAAAAATATAGAAACTCTTCGTGTGTGCTGCGCTCATTTGTTTTGATTTCTCCGAGAGGGCCTGCGCGAGCCTAAACGGCGCAACCTTGTTACTGCCAGTAATACATTTATTATCCATCGATCACAACCATGATCGCAACTTACAATACATGTAATAAAATCAGAATCATTCTCTCGGTTTAATGATTTCCTAGTCATTTTTTTCTTATTAACGTTCAAATCGGCTACTCCTGTCGTGCAAGTAAAATTCTTTTTTACTTGTCCCTTAAAAAAAATCCACTTGTCGTGGTGTGGTGCCGAATTGGCTTTATGCCACAGCTTCACTACTTCCTGAACTTCAGCCAGCCCTTTGTTTCCTGTCTGTCATTATTGGACAAACTGATTAATCCAGGTGTGCCTGGCCTCAGTAACAATAATCAGGCACACCTGGATTAATCAGTTTGTCCAATAATGGCAGACAGGAAACAAAGGAGCTGGCTGAAGTTCAGGAAGTAGTGAAGCTGTGGCATAAAGCCTATTCTGACCCCCGCCAAATTATTACCCCCCCTAGTATGGTAGGTTTAGGATTAGTTGTGGGGGAGGGGTTAGGATTAGGGGTGGGGTTAGGATTAGGCAATCAGGTACTGATTTCAACGAGGGGGGTAATAATTTGGCAGGGAGTCGAAATTCGGCACAACACCGGACAATCGTTAATGTCGAGCCCTGATATACTGCATTAATTTTCCGATGCGGATATGTGTATTAATCCATGAAAATGTGTTTTTGTAAGTTGGACGTGGGGAAAAGTTTAATCAGTCGATCCCATAGACTGTAAAAAAAGGTCAGTCCCATAGATCGACAGTAAAAGAAAGGCCAGTCTACTTGATTATGTCTGAAATGCCATTCGTGACCAACAGAGGGGGACCGTCGGAATGTGAAACCCACGCAAAAATAATTTTCAACACATTTATGTTTCTTAAAAACGACAACGCTTCGTTACAGATACCATATTATATTTAGCCTCACAAAACAGAATAGCTTTAGAAAGTCTTCAAACCACAGTAACGTAAAACAATAACTTGCTAGAGAGGGGATATTAACAAACAAGTTGTGATGTTTACTCGTTTAGTAGGCTAACCGAGATTAGAGTTTGTGGACTCTTTGGAATTACAAATACCATTGACACCAAAAATTGTTAACTGGGATATCATTCTTATTCACACATGTTTGTGCAGTGTGTTAAAGGGATACTCCACTTTTTTTGGAAATAGGCTCATTTTACAACTCCCCCAGAGTTAAACTGTTGAGTTTTTACCGTTTTTGAATCCATTCAGCCGATCTCCGGTTCTGGCCCGTTTTTGAATCCATTCAGCCGATCTCCGGTTCTGGCGGTACCACTTTTAGCATAGCTTAGCATACATCATTGGAGTGGACAAGACCATTAGCATTTCTAAAAAAAAAATGACCAAAGAGTTTCGATATTTTTCCTATTTAAAACTTGACTCTTCTGTAGTTACATCGTGCACTAAGACCGACGGAAAATATAAAGTTGCGATTTTCTAGGCTGATATGGCTTGGAACTATACTCTCATTCCTGTGTAATAATCAAGAAACTTCACTGCCGTACCATGAGTGCAGCAGGCGTAATGATATGACGCAGCGCCTGAAAATAGTTCCGTTGTGTTGACGGAAGGTGGCCTATTTTCAGGCGCTGCGTCATATCATTACGCCTGCTGCTCTCATGGTACGGCAGTGAAGTTTCTTGATTATTACGCAGGAATGAGAGTATAGTTCCAAGCCATATCAGCCTAGAAAATCGCAACTTTATATTTTCCGTCGGTCTTAGTGCACGATGTAACTACAGAAGAGTCAAGTTTTAAATAGGAAAAATATCAAAACTCTTTGGTCATTTTTTTTTTTTAGAAATGCTAATGGTCTTGTCCACTTCAATGATGTATGCTAAGCTATGCTAAAAGTGGTACCGCCAGAACCGGAGATCGGCTGAATGGATTCAAAAACGGTAAAACTCAACAGTTTAAAGCTGCTGTCCGTAGCTTTTTTTGGGTTAAAAATTATCCAAAATACATATTTGATAAAATACATAACCAGCCAGTGTTCAAAACTATCTGCTTGCCTTAGCTCGATGCAAAACGGTAAGCTTGTAATAATGTTTTTAATTTTAGTGGTACTGGTGGATTTCCACGGGAGATTCGAGCATGTCTTTGCGTCATTACGTCACACCCGTACACATAAAGAAGGAGTCTCGGCTAGTATAAGCTATATTGCGTATGAGGATGTTGGAGGTAGAGATTTATAGCCTTTTCTCACAGCACTTGATATAATTAAACTTATCAATTTGATGGCGGATCCAGAAAGGTTCAAACGACGATCATCATCAGTGACAACTAGAGACTCACCCGCTGTAAAATGCAAAAGACTTCGTTCGGACTTCGGAGTGGCTACAGAAAAAAAGAGACTGCAACCGGACCCATGCGAAAACAAGGATAATATCGGAAGGACATTACATGATGTAGTCACGCAATGCTTGCTGACGTTGTTAACATTAACAATTAGAGAACATAGTATAGCTACTTTGCACGGTTTTGCGTGAAATGATAACTTATAAGCAATTGTTAGATTTAATCAGCGCGATTTACTGCAATGTCAGAACCAGAACAAAAGTGGATGTTTCTTACTAGTTCAGATGACATTTCCCGGTGAAAATTCTTATGTTGGTCATACTTCCAAAATGAATAATCTGTGATTCTGAATGACAATATCCACATCGGCGCGGTGACTGACAGCCTCACAGTCTCCTCAAAACACTGTGTTCATCCGCGCTGTGCCGTGTCGAGGGTGTTGAACTACAACCCACGTAAAGTTGATAATTCCGCGAATGACTGCAATTGCAGATTTCGAACAGAGATGGCGACAAAGAGGAAAAATGCCGGACTGCAGCTTTAACTCTGGGGGAGTTGTAAAATGAGCCTATTTCCAAAAAAAGTGGAGTATCCCTTTAAGACCATAGACTGTAAAAAAATAGGTTAAGACCAGTAGTCTTAAACATTCCCAAACCTACCCTCTTGTAGTAAAACATTAAAAGTGCAACTACATCTAACTTAAGGAAATAATATTAAGGTTCTCTGAATGTGAAAAGCTACAACACGGGATGATATTCTAAATCAGATGAATCATATTTGTCATGTTAGAGTTGGATACATACTCACAATCACAAGCATTTTTGCTCCAGTTTTGACACAGGATCAGAAATGAACTAGTCTGGTCTTGCTAAACTCATCGATGAGTGGGTGTTCAAACTTTCTGGCTGTGATAATCCGTGGATCGTTCATTACAAGGAAACTATTCTGCAACCAAACCGGCTAGTCCAGCTTTTCACACGCACCGAAACGCCGTGAAACACGGAGTTTTTTTTTTTTTACGATTCTCACACGTTATTATGCCGTTTTGAACTACTGATTCAAACTGCGCGTGTTGGCACGTTAAACTTTGACGCGTTTCGTTATTAGGTTTTTGTCCCTTATGGCCGCTCATACATCATCAGTTCCTTTACTGTGGCGCTTACATCAGAGGCGGCGCGCTCGTGCGGCGCTCGAGACACTCCTCAAACAGACAGGCTCGAGACTAGTGCGGCTGGCAGAGCTGACGCATCGGTACGTATCATGTCATGTCTGTTTGACAACAACAACACACGCGAGCACATGATAGACGAGACAAGACACATACATTCTGCTTTATAATCCGCTCCGGGGTTGTCGGGTTAGTTATAAACTGTTGTTTTCTTTTCAGGTTGATTTATCACCTTTTATGAAGGTATATAGGCTATTACAAATGTGGCATAATTAGATTCTCTGGCCAGATAAATATAGCATATTCCTTCGAGACAGTGCACGTTACATGTTTTTTTTTATGAAGGGTGTCTGCCAGAATAAAAAAAAAATGCACTATCAAGGTATAGGTTTTTAATAGTCCAGTTTTGAGTTTACAGCCTTGTCCTAAAAAGGTGTGTTTACAGTGATAACAGTCAAATGATTAAATTATGCAAAGCTGCTTTGAAACAATCTCTATTGTATAAAGCGCTATACAAATAAAGGCTACTTGTACAGATGGATACTGGTATGTTCAGTAACGGCAATGCAAATGTGCACAAGCGACCAGAAGGATATGCAGAAAAATGAGATTATCAAAAATAGCCATGTGTGATGTGAATAATTTTTTTTTTTTTTTTTTGCAGTTTTCTGCAGGACAGTTGTGTTAATTAAGGTCTTTCACCTCTTATGTGTTCTTATCTGTCTTATGCTAAAGTAGCTCAAATATGTTTTTAACAGGTGTTTGTGCAGTTCAGCTGCAGACAGGACTATCATGGCAGAGAAACCTTTAGTCACTGCAGGGAACAACTTCCCGCTGGATTACCGAGGAGAGCAAGATGTCTCATGTTCCAGACGGGACTCTCGTGGATGCTTTGTAAACCCTTGGACAACATGGCAGTTCCCCTCCTACAGTACCATTGCTCGCCTGTTCCTCATGGAGAAGAACAACAGTAATGTGCCCAGTGTCAAAGAGGTAAACAACACACATTTTGTGCTCGGTTTAGGAGTCACTGATCAGGAATGCATTGATTCAGCAGCGTGGAATCTGAAATGTCACACACACATGATTGCTGTGCTTTAAAACGGGAATATTATTGAATATAAGCATTCGCAAGTAAAACTAGTTTAGATTTGATTATTGTCTGTAAAGTCTGGGGTATAGAGGATTTTTAAAGTAGAAAAGGAGCAGCTAAATGGCATTCAACATTTCCTTTAATGTTTTGAAATAATTTGCTTCGAACGGTGGAATAGTTTTTCAGTTTAACATAATAGTTTAACATATTTTATATAACATATATAAATATGTTATATAAAACGTTTATTTTATACATTTGAATAAATCTTTAATTTACTTTTTACCTATTAATACATTTATAGTATACATTTACTTGTTATACACATTTATAGTAATTATAAATGTAATGTACATTTATATATAAAATGATTACATTTCCTATACATTTATAATTCTATATTTACTTTTTATGCCTATTTATAATCATTATAAAATACAATATACATTTACTTTTATAGAAAATTACATTAAATGTATAAAAAGTAATAACCATATATAAATGTATATTCATTTTATAATTGTATATTATAATAATTATATAAACTTATTATTTTATATTTAGACATTTATATATAAATGTATAATCAATTTCATATATTCAGTATAATGCATTTATAAATAGGTATGAGATGTAAATATGCAATTATAAATGTATATAAAATTGAACAATTGTATGCATCTTTTTTTATTTCAAATTTTATGAAAAAAAGGAAAACATTTTTTAAATGTTTTCTGTTTTTTTTATCCTCAGGTTCTGGACCGTGAGCTGCCGGTTCTGGAGCCGTATTTCGTCCAGAGGCCAGATCAGTGCGGGCAGACGGGCCCATCTGTGCGAGCGACCTGGCTGGGTCATGCCTCTGTTCTGGTGGAGATGGAAGGACTGGTGGTTCTGACTGATCCCATGTTCAGCCAGAGAGCCTCTCCACTGGCATTCGTGGGCCCGAAGCGTTACCGTGACCCGCCTTGCACTGTAGAACAGATTCCTCGCCTGGACGCTGTGGTCATCAGTCATACACACTACGATCACCTCGACGCAGGCTCTGTGGCAGCGCTGAACGTTCGCTTCGGTTCTGGTTTGCGCTGGTTTGTGCCGCTCGGGTTGGCCGAATGGATGAGGAAGGCAGGCTGTGAGAACGTCACAGAGCTGGACTGGTGGGTGGGGAGCCGCATTCCCGGGCATGATGATGTCACTTTTTTTTGCACGCCTGCACAGCACTGGTGCAAACGCTCGCCTGTGGATGAGAACAAAGCATTATGGGGTAGCTGGACTATCGTAGGGCCCAATTGTCGTTTCTTCTTCGCTGGGGATACGGGATACTGTTCAGAGTTTAAGGAGATCGGAAAACGGCTCGGACCGTTTGACCTGGCTGCCATCCCGATCGGAGCGTACCTGCCCAGGTAAGACTGTAAAGAACAGCTGTGTGTATTAAACAAAAGTTCATTAAATAATGATTTAACTTGTCTTGTTTAGAGGGATCATGAAGTCTCAACATGTGGACCCTGAAGAGGCTGTTCTGATTCACATTGACATTCAGGCGAAAACATCGCTGGCCATTCACTGGGGGACATTTGCGTTGGCCTATGAGGTATTAGCCCGTCTTTCTCTCACTCTCCCACACATTAATTTTCTCAGTGTGAATGGCTTTCACCGAGCTGGCCAGCGGTCACTGCTCTGATTGTGTGTAATAGCTGTCCAGCTGCAGTTGGGAAGTCCAGTCTTTGTAGTTGTAGTCAGTGCTTCCAGAAAAACGCTCCGGTTTTCTTTAAAAATGCGATGGAATATGAGGGATATTTATGCAATATTATGCGATGAAATTGCTGGAACTTGCAAAAACTATGGTTTGATGAAAAAGAGGGGGAAAAAGTGATTCCCCCAACACCCTGTTCTCACTAGGCTACTACCTTAATGTAAAGAGTCATTTCTTATTACTTTCTATGATAAGCAAGCATACTACATCACAGAAAGTGCTGGGAATATTTAAGTTCTCATCTTGTTTTATCTCAGACCATAATAAATACATCAAACTTACAAAACATTGATGAGTCAAACAAGTTCTGTAGCTTTACAAAAGGAATATGCTACAATTTCGGTAAAAATGAATAAATGAAATCTAAAAAAAGAAAGTGTGCTGTTTTACAGCTTTTCGATGTTCACGTCGCGTAATTACGTCACTTCATAACGTTCCCATGGCAACAGGGGGAAATGGCTGCTCTTGTGTGAAACGCAACATTTTTCAACTTTCTGCTAAGATATGACTTTTTTGCAACGAAAATGCGAGGATTATGACATCATGCAAGCCCCACATATTTTACATGGAAATCGGCAATTTATGCGACGAAAGTGCGGCGTATTTGAAAAAATGCGGCCCCCGCATAAATATGCGGATTTGGCTGATTATGCACTAAATCATGCGATCGCATAATCGCGTTTTTCTGGAGGGACTGTGTAGTGTGTCAGGCTTCACTGTTGTGTCTACGTTTCCATGCTTCTTCAGGCTCAACACTCCCTCAGAGGCATGTACACATTTGAGCTGGTTTCTAGATTACAATTAGCTGATTAAGTCAGTTTAGAGAACTTAAGTTTTACTGTGTCTCAGGATTAGGTTAGCATTGTTTATTATATTTGTCAGTCCGAGGATTATTAACCCTTTCATGCATGAATTATGATAACCTCAGTCAGGATTTTTTTACTATGTGTTTTTATTGCTCTTATGGCATGAAAAACAAGATTTGATTTTTAAATATTTTTTTTTTCAAAGAGATTTTCAGGTGTCCACTTGAGTGGACAGCATGCATTTATGGTTTAAAACTGAAGAGATACTATATTAAACATAATACAATAATCAAACAGATAAAGTATGTGTATTTAACAAACTAATCAATACAATTATATCAAATCATGTGAAAACTATAAAATATATACAAAAAATATAAATTTGAAATATTGCAAATGCAATTGAACTTCATACAAGTTGCACTTCGTGTATCTTTGATATCAGAACATGAGGACGTGATTCCATCAGAAATTTCTTTATTAGCTGATAATTCTGATTATGTTCAAGATAGACACATTTCTAGCATAGGCCTCTTCTGGGAAAACCAAGCGATACGTATTTTTCAATCTCATCTGAAATTAGCAGTGTTGGGGCATGCATAACGCATTCAGGTTACTTTTTTGATGTTACAAGTAAAGTAATGTGTCACAAGTAATGTGCATTACATAATCAGATTTGTTTTAATGTTACGAGTAAAGTAATGTATTACAAGTAACATGTATTACCTAATCAGACTACTTTTTGATCTAACAAGTAAAGTAATTAATTACAAGTAATGTGCATTACGTAATCAGATTACTTTTTGTTGTTACGAGTAAAGTAACGCATTACAATATAGTACATTACGAAATCAGATTACTTTTTGATCTAACAAGTAAAATAATGCATTACATGTAACATGCATAACGTAATCAGATTACTTTTTGATGTTACGAGTAAAATGCATTACAAGCAACATTCATTGCGTAAACATAACTTTTTGATCTAACAAGTAATGCATTACATAATTAGATTACTTTTTTGATGAAATGAGTAAAGTAATACATAAGTCACATAAATTATGTAATCGCATAACTTTTTTCGATGTCAATGAAATTAACATTCTAATAATACAAATACATTTATTTACAGTAAAAAAACGTCACTGCAGATTAAGTATTTTCAAAAACAATATTCACAGTATAAGTATGAATTGTAGCTGAAATATAGCCATTGATGCATGAGGTCCACTATAGTGGACAGGTGATTAATCAGATTTTTCTCCCAATCTAAAATCAAAACTTGAAAAATTTTACTGTCATATGACTCATTAGATATTGCTTGATGCTGCAATATTTTTTTTACCTACAAGAGTCTCCTAGGATAGAAGGAATGGGTGGATATTCCGGAGCAACTTGGCATGTCTGACTGACCATTGGCCATCTTGGTTTGGAGGGGGAAAAACTCGAAACACAACGGCTTGCAACTTGGTTGCAATGTATAGGATGATGCACCAGGGTCCACTGAAGAGATTGATGTGCAACTTTGCCATCAAAACCCTTGCAAATTCAAGAAAATGCTTTTTTTTAATAGCTGTCCACTCTAGTGACCACTGTGCATGAAAGGGGAGACATTTTTTCTGACCTGTATTTAGGCCTCACTTGCTGAACTAGGAATTCAGTATTTGTATTGCAGTTGTTTTTCCTGTTTATTTATATAATATGTTGTGTAAACTCACACGAGTTTTAATATTGACATGTTTTTCTTGCATGTTTCTTGAGCACCAAATCTGGAATAAATTACAATGCAAAATATTTTGCAATAGAAAACAGTTTATTTAAATTGTAATATTTCAGAGTATTATTGTTTTTACTGATGAGCACAAGAGATCCCCAAACTTTTGAACAGTAGTACATATAAACTACTTTTCAAACTGTTTTATTAAAATGTTTTTGAAAGAATTGAATTAAATCCTGTTCCCCTCCCTCTCTCTCTCTCTCTCTCTCTCTCTCTCTCTCTCTCTCTCTCTCTCTCTCTCTCTCTCTCTCTCTCTCTCTCTCTCTCTCTCTCTCTCTCTCTCTCTCTCTCTCTCTCACTCTCTCTCTCTCTCTCTCTCTCTCTCTCTCTCTCTCTCTCTCTCTCTCTCTCTCTCTCTCTCTCTCTCTCTCTCTCTCAGCATTATCTTGAGCCTCCAGCACGTTTGCGTGAGGCTATGGTGAATCATGGACTGAATCCAGATCAGTTCTTCACGCTCCATCACGGAGAGTCACGGATGATCAACCACAAGGACATGCACTCGTCCAGCTAAACCAAAACACAGGAAGTAAGCAGACACACATATATGACTGCTTTACACAGGCTGCATTTTTATAAATCATTTTGAAGATAGTGCTGATCCAGTGGCTGGACTCTGGATTTAATGCAACATGAATGTATTATATTTCTATTTTGTTTAATATAATTTGTCATTTAAAATATCATGGAATGACCATAATAAAACAACATCTGAGTTTAGCCTGTGTTTCAAAACAGTATTTAGAAGCTCTGCTGTCTAGAAGAAGAACATAGTTCAGGTGAGAACAATTACCTGTGAACATTGCAGCGTTCATAAGATGGAGAAGAACCAAACCTTAAGAAATTCACTTTATTTGCAATTGTTTAATAACATCATTCTCAGATAAAAATGCAATATTACAGGAATATACAGCAGAGATTAATTTAAAACTTCCTGTCAAGAACCATACAATCTAAAGATATTTTTTAGTTTTTATTTACTGGTAGCGTGCGTTATAAGCAAGACACACTCTGTCACCAAAGACAGACTGACAGATACAGATACAAACTGTACAATCACTTATTTACAAATCCAATTTTTTGTTGTTTTTTTTCTTTTCACTTATTTTTTGAAAATAGGAGTAGAAAAAGTGATTGAATCTTCAGATTTACGTAGCGTATTCTTTTTAAAATCTAAATGAACAAATGAAAGAATGATGGAATGAAACAAAAGAGTCAGTAAAAGTAGAGGAGGGAATGACAGACCATGCAGACGTCTCACAGACTTATCAATAACACCTGGGGTCTAAACTCGATTAAATAGTCCAAAATGTGAATGACCTCTGACGGTGTTTCGTGAGAGTCCTGAATGGTCAGCACTGATTCCTTCGAATTCTACCAAAAGCACGACACGCATCTAATTTTAATTCAGCTCGTAAATCTAACAAACAGCTCAGGACCTTGAGACTACTCTTCCCGTCCGCACCGTCGATCAAAACTAGAGAAGCTGCTTGTGTGGTCACTGAAATAAAGCCACTGAGACGATCCGCTCAGATTTCTCCCTTTGCGAGTCTGATGGACTTGAGTGGTTAAATGACAACCGAATCGCATCAAAACAGTGTGGCGCAGATTCGCCTTTCAGCCAACAGAAAGACTTGTGGGACGGTGTAGATGAGTGAGCGTGAGGGAATCAATTCCCTCAGTTCTCCTACCCTTTATAGAAAGAGACCCAACGAATCAAGCCCAGAGCTGGAGCATTACGTCCATCTCTGCAGAAAGATAAAGAATAAGCCATTACAATATGTTCACTCATACATGGAGATTTGTGCAATATTAACTATTCGAGCTCCTCATCATAATCGTTACCGTTCTGATAATTTCTTTGTCTCTAGTGCTACATTCGCTGGGTGGAACTAGAGGCGGGGAAATGCCACTTAAAATATAAATTGTTCTGCATTCATTAGGCCCTAATCTACCCGTGATTTCGGGTTTCAAAAGCAGTCAGTGCACTAAAAAACACTGAAGACCCGTCTCACCTACTGCAGGAGACAGCCTGAAACAATCTGCATTAATTATCGTCCCACCTGTTGAAATGAAACTATGGCAAGATTGACATTTTGAGCTTAGGGCGAAATTAATAATTACACGACAGCTAAAATCTATGCATAAATTCATCCTTCACTTGGATTGTGTACGATGTGTCAAACTAAATGTGGTTTAAATGTGCAAATTGTGATTATTGCATCACCACCTTAGCTTTTAATTTATCATTAAAACTCATTAACAAACTAGATTAACTTATAATATCAAATTAACAGTCATATAAAGGAGGACATTAGAGATACGTGCTACACAAAGGTTAAACCAGAGGGCAGACATTGCAGCTGTCCAGGCTTCCTCTGGGTCAAAGGTCAACCCCACGGCACGTTCCTTCAGTCTGACACATGCAGAATTAGCCAACGAACACACATGAACCCAGAAACACCAGATGGCCCGACTGCATTACTGGGTTTATCCAAATAAAACAAAAACACCCTAAAGATAAAAAAAAAAAAAAAACTGACCTACTGTGGTTTACTGTAATGTTTTATGAACTTGAAAGATTATAACAATGCTGCTCAATTGCAAAAAAAAATTTCTCATACATTCTGATCAAACGATTTTTTTTTTTTTTTTCAATATATCCTTTTTTTTTTATTAGGGAAACTTGTGTGTGCTCTACTGCTACTGATGGCAAATCGAAATATAAGCCACAACCAATCAGAGTCCATCAGGAGAGCGGCCTACGCTTCCCCCACTGAAATATCACGACTTTGGCCGTTCCCTCCAACCAGAGCAAAATATCTAAACTTCCATCTGATAAATATTTCTCATATATTAAAATATATAAAATAACTTCTGATTCTCTGAGAGAAGAAAAGCTACATTACAACCATTTGGGCAAAAAACCTCACTGAGCAACTAATAAAATATTCAGTCAAATATTTGGTACATTTCCCCAAGGCCTGAGCGGACAGCTCTCTGTGTTCATTCGTTAGTGGTTTCATTTAACACAGGGGCTGCTTTTGTGTCATAAAAGCTCGTGGCTTTTCCACTCTGTTCTATCATGTGCAGGTGCTCGGAGGGGAACGTGATGTGTTGATCTGAATAAAGCAGCGGTGAAAAAGCCCTCGGATTTGAAATCTCTTGATTGATCTCATTGCACTCCTCCCTCAGCAAAAACGCCCAACCATCCTGCTTAAAAACAGGCCGTACGACCGGAGTTTCAAAGGAGCTACTGCGGTGAATACGAATGATTTACTCTATATTTCTCTATCATAAATTTAATTTCTATCTATACATAATCACTACATACATTCTCAAACACGGTTGTGTGTAGCCATTTTAACCCTGACATTCAGCAGATATAGATGAGTTTATATTGTCGCTTTTCTAGTGTTAATTCTTTTCTAAGTCTATAAAAATATACAATCATTGGCTAATGAAGGGAGAGGACGACTCCGTCTGCTAGGTTGATTCTTAAGATTCCATGCAAACGCAACCAAAAACGAGAAAGAAAAATTCAAGCTTAGCATCCAAATCCATTATTTCCAACCTAAATCTCCTCGCCGAACGCGGATTGTCCATGAGGCTTGAGAAATGACGGGGGATTTCTAATGTTTCCGCTTGCAGCCTTAAATAATAGTGAGAATTTATGTGCATGACCAACCATTTAGAGTGAGCCCATTCACCGGCATGCGGGTGCCGTAATAAAACGCCTTCACTGTGATGTCTGCTGAAGAAAGGACAAGGAGGGTGAGTGAATGAAAAGATAAAAGGGAAAAAAGCGAGAGAGAGAGAGAGAGAGAGAGAGCTGCTCTTGCGTATCATGCACCTTTCAGCTGAGCACAAGATATGCAAAATCATTTTCACACCATCGAGACACTTCTCTTCTCCGTCTGTATTTACACCTTCACTCCTCGTCATCAGTGTTTCCTCAATGTTTAAAATGAAAACAACAAAAAAAATACTCAAAACGCTTGGCACACCAAAATAATCCTCATGCAGAGATAATTGAAACCAACAGAAGAAAAACATCAAACCAAACTGACCCGCACAAGATTTTCAAAATACTCAATACTCAAATGCACCCGATTTCAAGTATGACAGGTTTCTTCGATTTAAAGTTCTGTAACTTAATACACAACAGTGAATATATTTCTCTCTGTATCTTAGATTTTTGTACAGCTGTAGTTCTGAAAGAAAACTGTTGTACAGTCAAAGTTATTGCATTGTTTTTGCATATCTTGTGGTATGCAAGCACATACGCATGCACTCACGCACTCATCCTGCATATACTAACACGAACACCACACAAACACGCTCGTTTCTGCACTCTGTATATGCTAAACACGGAGAAACTCGCACACGTACACAACCAAGGCCTCGAAATATGCCTGGGGCAGCCTCACAATGACATATGGCACGTGTGTGGAGGAGATATGAGGGTGAGGTGGCGGCTTTGGAACAGAGCAGGTGGATTCTGGCTACATTTGTCACGTTTTTTTTTAAAAGCTTTGCATCATCCTCAGAGCAGAGACCTCCTGTAAACAATCAGGAACTCTATCGCACTCTAAAACAGCACAGGACCAGAGACGGAAATCAAATGGGATGTTTGAGGCCTGAAACGAAACGCCAGGACGCTCGGTGTAGAAAGTGAAGAGTCAGTTTGACAAAAATAGTCGATTATCTTTTCATGTATGGAAAGAGAAATTTATATTGTCTGAAGTAGTGTGCAAAACGGTGACAGAACTTCTAACCGAGTCTAGTGTTGCACGAACGGAGAGATGCCTGGAAGTGGATTGGTCAGGTTTCTCATCAGCGGATGTGTTTTGGGGACACCTTCCATCCTGTCGACACATTACCAACACAATGCTAATGCTTCAACACCTTATTTGCATAATAGATCAATAAGTAGTTCTCTGTGTGTCTGCCGAACTGCATGGAAACAGCAGAAAAATATCCTTATCAATAGTAGTAATAATAATAGCGATCAATAACATTGTATGATGATGACACTGCTGATGTTGGTACTTTCATAAGGATGGTCATATATTTAGCCCTGTGTGAACTACATTAGTTTGTTTGTTTTTTCTTAAATGATGCGCTACCCAGACATCCCTGAATACTCCACCCTTCTTCCTCTCTTCAAAGTGCACCTTTACTGACCTTCCAAAGATCTGCTGTTTCCTGTGTCGAGCAGGTGGGATCATGACAGAATCGCAGCTGTCAGCTGAATGTTTCTGGAGATCAGCAGTGAAGAAACGTCAGTAGTTTCAGAGCAAAACGCGAGTCCGATCCAACAGCAGCAAGGGGAACCATGAGACCTGTCAGTGCTACCTGATTCCAGGCGAGTGACACTGCTCATTTACAGCTTGTGAGCTACCAATAAACATTGTGAGTGAGACCGAACCCCCGGCGGAACACGCTTCACCTCTGACAGGAATAAATAAATAAATAATTTTTTGTGTGTCAGTAAGAGGCATTAGATTCACAACACTGCATCTGGCATAAACATCTTAAATGCCTTCAATAATAATAAGAAGAATAATTTAAGAAGAAAAAAAACAGCATCCACCTGTGCGCAATCCAAGATAAACATTATAAACACTAAATGCTGGACGATAAAAAAAGAAATAAAACCTGAAGCAGATCTCGAATAAAAGGCCACTGATGCAATGACCCGTACCTTGCACGGCTAGCAGCTACCTGAAAGCCGAAACGGTACACGAGAAAAAGCAATTTTGGGAGTTCAGTCTTCCACTAAAAAAAAAAAAAAAAAGTGCAGGCTTACCTAGAGAATCATGGGTGGAAATCAAATTTAAAAAGCAGCAAAAATCATTAACTGAACAAGAAAGCCGAAAAGGAGACGGATGACATTTCTCTTGATGAACAGATGGATGGATAGATGGACAGTCCCGTGAAAGGAAAGAGAGCGAGCATGAGAGAGCCGCTCCAGTGTGTCTCTCTGAGCATCTCTTGAACCCCTGACGGCTCCTGGGCCGACAAGATCCACCTGCTCGGCACAACACGTCCCCGCCGATGAGGCGGCCGTCGAGTCCTACCATCACACACACAGGTCAGCGCAAACTCGCTCTGTCCTCCCACCGGCAGACAGATCCCACTGCTTGAGCAACAACATCGCATCTTTTCCCTTAATTCCCTGCTCGGTCAGGGTTGTTTTTCATTTCCTTACTGCAATCAAGGTTGTGAGAACTGTGAGGCACTTTTAGAAACACGCACACAAACATGTACACACGCCTACTCGCTCGTGCTCTTGCAAACACACAGACGAACTAAAAACCAACTCGGTCTCAGCTAAGCAGAATGGCCTTATACCCCTACGGTAGGTACACGCAACAGACGGGTCAGACTGCAGGACAGCAGTGTCCTTGGAGAGAGCTGGGCTAAGACAGGAAGTCCTCCGTGCTGCTGCTGTTCCCCCTACAAGCTCGTCACACACTCCATATCTTCGTCGTCCATCAGAGCGCTGTTCCTCTGCCCAGCCCCCTCGGACTGGTCTAACTCCGTCCCCAGCAGCTCATCAGAGCCTGTGGGGGTGGAGAGGCCCAGTGCGTGGCTGCAATGGGACTCCTGCGAGCCAGTGTCTCTGCACTGCATGAAGGGTAGCAGGTTTCCGTTGGCGTTGGGCGGCGCGTTAGCATTGAGAATGTTGTCAGCGGCATTCTCCATCTCCTCCATGGTCATGTCGCAGGCGTCCGCTAGTTCCTGCTTCGCTACCTGGATGAAGGTGGGATCGTGTGCATACCGACCCAAACCCTCAGATATCAACACCTGAGTGGAGAAAGTAAGACTTTGAGGACTGTAGACAAGACACTACAAAAAAAAAAAAAAACAGTCACCATACTTTCCCCAGTTGATCAATCACAGTACATTAAGACATTTGTTTATTATGAGTTTTCTGAAATGTTATGTTTAAATGTGCAAAAGAGGCATTACCTTATTAAACATGCACTCAATTGTATACATTTCCACCACAGAAATCTGAACATTGGATAAAGCCAGGTTTAAAATTATTGTTTCATTTTATGTTCAGGTTAAAGGTTTTTAATGAGGGGATCTTGGATATCTGTTTCTCTCCATAAATCAGAAAATACCATCAACAGCCAGAAAAAACAATATTTAAGGAATAAAATGTTATATAAATTAGGCAAATGTTCTATGAACAAACCCCTCTGTAAAAACCTTCAGAATATAGGTAAGAATAAAACTGAACAGTTTGGTGAAAGTGCTTCTGAAATGAGTTTCAGAGGAGTTTCTGGCTCCTTGCATGAGAAAAAAAACCTCATTTTGAGAACTTTTGTTTTGTAACTGAAATCTACAGATGAAAATAGATAAATTGTGTACACTTAAATGTGTATTTGGGATGTTTTCTTTCCACCAGTCTGAGGCCCTGTTTACAGCTGGTATTAAGCGTTTTGGTCGATCGGATCACAAGTAGACGAGGGAGACATATCTGTTTACACCTGGTGTTTTAATCACTTAATCTTTTATCCACTTTCAACCACTTCTGTCCTGATTTATTTGAGCGGAGTGTCAATGGGCGGGTAAATGTGTGAGCTTTTTCAGATCTTTCAATTTAATGGAAGAAATAAGCTCACAATTTAGATATGAACGCAACCGAAGATGACGGAAAAACATACGGAGAGCGTGAGCGAGAAATCAGGAATGGTAAGAGAACATTGTGCTTGGTACATTTTTTTCATCTTCAAACCAAACTTGGGTCTTCAGTCAACAAAGTTTAAATCCCATCTGGCTAGCGTGCTTCCCATAATGTTTAGGCGTTATAGGTCAGTAGGCGGAGAGTAGGTAGTCTTTTGTGGTACGAACTCATTCCACCACGAGCGTTTACACTACAAAAGTAATCCGGTCTAATGCGTTTTCGACTACCTCTAGAAGTTGTCGAAAGAGGACAAGCTCAAATCGTTTTAGACCCCGTTTACACCTGTATTTAGCGTTGCCCACTTGTGATCCGATCGAACAAAATGCATCTTAATTGCAGATGTAAACAGGGCTTGAAAGAAAACGTTTTGGAACCAAAACAACCCACAATTTTAAGATTTACCATTGGCTTTAAAAAAATAAAGGTTTTGCCCATAAAGTCTTGCATAAAGTGAGGGAAAATGCATCTTACCGCCTCCACAAGGCTGCCAGCGCTCCCGTGTGCCAGGGATGTGGAGTCTCTGCGCGAGACCGGCGGAACCGTGAGGGACACGGGTCGCTGCATCCTCTGCACGCTCCTGCTGTGGTTGCCGTTACTGTCGCTGTACCACGAGCTGCAGTTCACAGACGGCATGCTGCTGTTGAGTTTCTCGTAAGATCCGCTGCCCTCCAACCGCAGAGAAGGAACGGGCTGGTAGCACGGCCCTCCCCCGCCGCGGCCGCTGGGACTCGCAGGAGGTGTGGAACACAGACGCGTGAACAGCGTCGGAGAATGACTCCGTCTCAGCAAGGGACTTAACCCAGCAACAGCCAGAGCCTTTGAAAACCAGATGATGAATGAGTGAAAAGGATTAAAAAATATGTGTGGATAATAAAGTGTGGATAAGCTCACCTGATGATGCACTAGGTGCAGTGGTAGTGCTGTCTTCTGAGAAACATCAGGTCTGTTATGTTTTCTCAGACACTCCAAGTGAAAGGAAGACCGTCGACCTGTTAAAAAGTAAATATGCAGTTAACTTCAGCATCACATCTGAAGCAAAACTAAAGATTGTATGGAATCAAAGGAACTGTAATGTATGTGTGTGAGTATTTACCCAGTGCAGTGGGGCAGAGAAAGGCCCGGCGCCGTGGAGACTGCCACAGCCTCCTCTCCTCCTCTACATCCGCCTCCACCATGGGAGCCAACTGCTTGCTCTCTTCATCCTGAAATTCCAGCCTGCACCCAGCACACACATTCAGAATATTAATATATTAGGTAACACTTTATTTCGATGGTCCACTTTAGACATTCTACTAACTATAAGGAAGTTTGCAACTACATGTCAACTAACTCTCATTAGAGTATTAGTAGACTGTCTGCTTAAAATCTGTCAACTCTTTATTTTGATGGTCCCCCAACAGACATTCTACTGTCTAGAAGTATCTTTGCAACTACATGTCATCTTATTCTACTAACCTGAACCCTAACCTAATGAGAGTTAGTTGACATGTAGTTGCAAAGTTACTTATAGTTAGTTGAATGTCTGAAGTGGACTCGAAATAACCAAATATTATTCTTTCTAGGAGGCTGAATCTCACGAAAGTGTCAAATTTCACCCCAAAATAAAGAATAAGAAATTATATTTTGTTAAGTTTGGGGTCAGTAAGATTTTTATGTTTTTGAAAGAAGTCTCTTACTGTATGTTGCACCAAGGCTGCATTTATTTGATCAAAAATACAGTAAAACAGCAATTGTGAAATATTACAATTTAAAATAACTGGTTTTCTATTCCTTCTATGAAATATTGCGTCTTTATACCAAATTTGTCATTTTTATAGAAGGCAATAAGCAACCTGAGGTCATGCATCACTGTATCGCACACCCTCCTGTGGCTTATTGTTGTATTAAATGTTCTGATATTAATTTAGGTAAAAGCAGAATATTGAAGTCTTACATGTCCATTGAGAGCATGGCCTGATCTCTCTCATCTAGAAATGTTTCATCGTACGTCTCATCCGTAGACGCTTCCTCTCTGCGTATTATAGGGAGACGACTGTCACTGGAATCAGAGCTACACAAGACACACATCAACACACACAGGTGAACTATAAGCATATTGCGCATCTTTATCATCTGCTCTTCAGAAAGTGAGGAAACCTCACCTATAACTTTACAGATAACAGCAGTTACTCTCTCCTCAAGCTCTCATAAGGCTGATATAATGTGAACAATCAATTGAAGCAGCTTACGGTTTGTTTTGTCTGAAGCACTGCTGTCTAACAAACCGCATTGCACAGTTTTAACCGATTGTGTCACATTACAGAAGCACTGATATTATTTTTGCGTGGAAACCTTATGATACTACATTTAAGAGGAGACATTTTTTGTCAAGGGGCACTTCATAAAGACTGGAGCTCCACTAACAGAAGTAACTGTATATCCTGTTTTTGGGATTGTGCTGAAAACATGTAGTACTTCCTGTTTAATAGCTTGCCGGCAGAGCTGCTTGTACAATTGATGCTTTTGTATTTTGGTCGAAATGAAGAGCCCCTTCAGTACAGCCTGGAAATGACCAGCAGGATGAGCTTCAACACTAACACCTAACATGGCCGAGCAGAGCGGTTTTCAACTGGTGGGTCGCAAGTTCTGATAGCAAACATGCTTAGTTATGATAAATAGGCTACAGTTTTATATAAAAAAATAGCCTTAATCTATATGTTATGTTGATGTCAAAGGGTCTACATTCAAATATTCAAACAAATACAGTATTTTGCAACAAATTTATCTGTCAGCAGTGTATTTATTAATATTTTGAATTAGCTTTTTATTTCAATTTTTATTTAAGTTTAAGTAATTTTAGTAATAATGAAGTAATTTAACTTGATGAACATGTTTCACATCCCCAGGTTTGGGTGAATTTCCCATCACTGAGAGCATGAAATCTGGGTTCAGAAGGAAAACCAGTTGAAATCCGCTGGCCTAGCACATGCTCATTCAGCTGTCAGCCAATCAGGAAAGCTGCTCACAGATCCTGCTAGATAAACTTATGCATGGAGTGGATCTCTCAACACACTGAGAGTGTGTGTTGCACACATTTCGCTTCAGATCCACCCCAGTATGGACAGAGCATACAACAGCCCTCCAAAGAGATGAGGTCTCTCTCTGTCTCTGTGAGAGGAACGTACCGCATGAAAGAATCATAGAAACAGCTCCTGGTTCACATCAGAGACAATCAGGGGTGAGACAAACCACAATTAGGAACCATATTCTGACAAACCTGAAAATCTCCCCACTAACTCACACATCTGCTTTCTAGTACAGAAAGCATATGTTATCCTACCTCTTATTAGGAAAGCACCATGTGGGCCGTGGCAGTGGGACGGTGGTGAGGGGAGGCCCCGTTTGTCCGTCCACTGTGCTGATGGTAGGTTTGGGATACCGGTGTCCGATGGCTGTGTTGTTGGCGTTGTTGATGTTTGCGTTGGATCCTGAGGAAGAGTAACTGCTCGGAGTGAAGGTGGAGTCGACGAGCTTCTGATGAGAGGGAGATTCTGCCTCCCCGGGACTCCCGGATTTACTGATGTGCAATGGCCGCTGTGTTGTGAAGGATTGTGGGAAGGAGGCGTGACCATCACTCTGGTTATAGTAGTTGACGTGGTTACCGAAGAGGCCCCCAGACCGCTGCAAAGACAAATATGCGAGCATGAGTGGTCACATTTACGCAAACCTGATCAACCCTCCCCGTTCACACCTGGTATTAATATCTTCAGGGATTTTTCAGTAGATGTCGTCGAGCAGAGGGACTACATACATAGTGTTAGTGTGACATTACATGTCATGCACAAGTCATGACGTCTTGTGCAAGTACATGTTTGCATGGATGAGTTTGCTTGGACGTTGCTTTCTGTAAAACCTCTGATTTCTTTTCTTGTTTTCTCATGATCAACTTAATTTTCTTTTGATCTCAACACAACAAAAAATCTTAGGGAATAACATTCTCAATAATATTTTATATTATGGTTACTACTATCTATTAAATTCTATAATTAACTTTGTATACTATTATTAAACTCATTACATTTGGTTTGATTTCTACAGTTTCTTGATTTGTACAGTAACACGCTTTCAGCTATATTTAGTGATGTCTACATCTGATCCGGATTACTCAACACAAATGTTAATACCAGGTAAATGAGGCCAAACAGACACACATACACTGAAACACTTTCCACTTCCTCTGTTCACTCTGCACTTACATTCAGACAGCAGTGATGTTTTTGATTTTTCTAAACCGTCTACAAATGTACTTCAACATCACTGATGACTAAATCCAAATGAATCATTCTTAATAGAGTTATTTGGATTTTCCTTTAAAACTCTGATCTGTATGATGAGGGCAAAGCGCTGCTCATTAATGACTTCTAATATATTTAGAAGTAAAGCTTGTAAAATTGGAAACGTTTATGAACTTAATATGAACATAATGATTTTGTTATACTAAATAACAAATGGAAAAAAGAATTTAAGGCCCCCAGTGCTGAGCAATGAATCTAAACAAGCAGCTCTGCCACAGCAACCCTTCACAGCCTGGAAAGGACTCTGGTTTGAAGATCCGGCTGATGGTCGCATGCAAGTGGGCAGAAGCTCCGGCAGCAGAAGCGATGATGTGAGCAGAGAAGAGAGGAAATAAGAGGCAATATCAGACCTTTACCCTGAAGATATCATCCTCAGAAGCAGTACACACGGTTTCTTTCATGGCTCTCTCCAATTCCTCCTCCACGGTCAGGTCTCCTGATATCGCTCTTCTGATCTCAGGACCCATATCATGCAGTGTACGCAGGCCAGCCTGGTCAGAACACACGCAAACAGACACAGATTCATATGCTAACAAAAACACACTTCTCAGCTGTAGCAGGTGAAAGTGTGCATGTGGTCTTCTGTACCCACCTGCAGTGAAAGCGCAGTCTTTGGGGGAATTTTGGCCACCAGGCCCTGTTCCTTGCGCTTCTTAAATTTCCTGAAGTATTCCTGAATCAGGAATGTGGCATAGAACTTCCCCACTGTTACTTCATCATCTGTTGGGCAAGGTAACACACACTCAGGTTTTGTTTGTTGTGCTGGGTGGTTATGTTGCTTCCTGCATTTTTCTTTTAGTTAATACATATATCAGTTTAAGCTCTTGAAATACACTTGACAGCATCTTGAAGTTCTAGGACAGGAGAAGAGAACTTGACTACATTTCTTTTTATTATTTAGTTTACAAGTTTGGGGTCAGATCGATTTTTTTTCTTTTATTCAGCAAAGATGCATTAAACTGATCAAAAGTGTCAGTCAAGACTTTGTCTTACATTGTTACAAAAGATTTTCATCTTCAAATAAAGGCTGTTGTTTTGAACTTTCTATTCATCAAAGCAGCATATTAGATCATGTGACACTGAAGACTGGAGTAATGATGTTGAAAATTCAGTTTTGCATCACAGGAATAAATTACATTTTTACATTTTACAATTTTAACATTGAGCTCAATTTTTTTGTACATTTGGAGTGCTGTCAGTACAGACAAAAACGACAAAAATCAGTGTTGCCTACACCGTGTTATCCTCTTTTTAAAATTCGCACCCTGTTGACTTCAATGGGGCAAGTTCTAAACCTGCTTTTAGCCTCTTAACAACCTTAATGTGTCATTACAAGTGCACAGCCATGTGAGTGGTGTTATTAAGAGTGACCACGGTCAATCTGACTGCAGTAGATGTGAAAGATATTAATAAAAATGATGTTAATTCAGCCAGCTCACATACCTGTATTTACTTCCTGTTTTCATTCGAAGTCCACAGTAGTCGATTGTCGAGTTCGCGCGCGCGATCATTAGTTATATTAGTTACCAATGATCACTCTTAATAACACCACTCACATGGCTGTGCACTTGTAATGACAAATCAAGGATGTTAAGAGGCTAAAAGCAGGTTTAGAACTTGCCCCATTGAAGTCAACAGGGTGCGAATTTTAAAAAGAGGATAACACGGTGTAGGCAACACTGATTTTTGTCGTTTTTGTCTGTACTGACAGCACTCCAAATGTACAAAAAAATGAGCTCAATGTTAAAATTGACCGGAGTTCTCCTTTAACGTCTGAGTAGTGTACATAAACGTAACATAAACCTTCAACCTTTTCCCACCACCCACCTCCAGCAGGGGGAACAACTTGATCCAGCAGCTTCATGCTCGTCCTCTTCCAGATCTTCTTCACGATGGCCCTGAGTTCCTCATTCGCTTGTTCCAGGTTACCTGATTAAAAGCAAACACATACAAGCAGTGACTGATAAAGATCTGTCCGTTTTGAAGGTTGAAGGTTAGTATGTGTATTAGGGTTATGCGTGTGTTTATGACCTGCATAAGTATTGTGTGACATTTTCACACCTTCAGTTTTGATTCGTAAAGCCGTCCGTACTAGGGCAAAGAGAGTAGCGTTGAACATCACCGTTCCGTCGCTATTGAGAGGCATGTTCATGGACACAAGCCGCTGCAGATGCACGCATTAAAATAAGTCAAGCAATGTGAATAATGCACTGCAGAATTAGTTTGTTTTGTGATTTTGGGTACCTTGCAAGCCACTCTATGTGGACAAAGCTTTCCAAATCCAAGGGGAGGCTGAATCCTGCGCAGTAACGTCACCACATCCAGGTGCTTTATCCGACCCCTGCAATCACATTGAAGTCCGATCTCAACTTTAGTGATAATAATAATCAATGATTATTCATGATAAGACCTAGAGACTGCAGATGATTGGAGAGAGCGGAAGTGTGAAAGATGGCAAAACAGGAAGTGACTGACTTGGCCTCAGGATCGTATTCCGCCCATATCCTCTTGAACTCGTCCAGATGATGCGGCCCCAATATTGACCAATCACGTGTTAAATAGTCAAAGTTGTCCATGATGACGGCCACAAAGAGGTTAATGATCTGTGGGAGAGCAAGGATCTGAATCATCTTGTGTTCGCGAAACCCAGAATCACACCCGCTGCTTCTGTTATTATTATGGATATGGTAAACACTGATGTCGTGCTCGTGGAGATGATTTCACAGCAAATTTCACAGCTGATATACAATAACACAGTTGCTTAGTGGGAAGGAATCTCGATGTCAACTTACCAGGAAGGCGCAGAGCATATAAAAGCTGACAAAGTAGATGATGGCAAAGTGGCTGCCACAGTCTTCACTGGAATTGCCGACCTCTGACCCCTTCTCACACGGGCGGTTCGGGGAACAGGCCAGCATGATTTCCTGCCATGCCTCCCCTGTTGCACACCTACACAAATACACAAGCTCACAGTGACAACGAGACATCAAACGAGTGAAAGAGCGAAAGTGAAAGGGTAGCTGACCTGAAGAGCAGCAGAACAGCCTGAGGAAACGTCTGGAAGTTGTTGTTTCGGTTGATCTGGCTGTTGTCCCTCAGGCCAATCTTACCAAACATCTGTGGAGTCAGACACACATAGCTCAGCATCAACATGTACAAGTACAGGAGCTCTAACAGACATGAAGTCACTTCCTTGAGGAAGATGAGGAGGGAGTGTGAAGCAAATGAAGCCGGGTCTGACCTGCATCCCAATGACGGCATAGATGAAGAACAGCATTACGATCAGCAAAGCAACATAGGGAAGAGCCTGTGAACAAAGAGAGGGAGATGGAGAAGGGGAAAAGGAAAGATTAAATATACAAAGCAATACAGGAATATAGCAGAAAAATGTAAGGCCACTTTCTGTTCCTTTTCACTCGTTAACCTGAACGACCTATTAGTCAAATAACAATTTTTTTTTAACAAAGTCTGGACCACAGTACAGTTACACAGAAAGATGCAGCCTAATTTCATTCTTCTCACCTGAAAGGATTTAATGAATGTCCAGAGTAGCGTCCGAATGCCCTCTCCCCGAGACAGGAGCTTCACCAGCCTCATCACGCGGAACAGCCGAAAGAACGTGATTGAGATCCTGGCGTTATCTTCAGTGTTTTGGAGTCCCTTTTTCAGCATGACAGACACAAACATATGAGTGTTCATGGGGAGGCACACACACATAAATACACTCAACCATTTGTACACCACCAAGAACAATTCAAGGTGACACACACACACACACACACACACACACATTTAATATGTCTACTACAGCATGTTAAACACTTCCACCAATAGCACACTACAGAGACACATAGGATGTCTGGTGGCTTTATGAAAAAATGACAATTTTCCAAATGGATGCAAAGCACTAATAGATGTCCACCACAATGCACAACACCCCTGAAGTAATAATCTTTCCAGCTAATCAAATATAATATACCCTACAGCACTAACCTGCATTGGAAGCATATCACTGTATTTCACAGGTGATATTAGAACACAGACATTAAACCACAGGCGTAACATTTATCTCGTCCTTTAACATCTATCATATACATCATGGCACATTTCCGCCACATGAGAAAAAAAAACCCATCATACTTTGGTAAGTCATAATTATGACATAAAGCGTTATAATTATGACAAAAAAAAGCAAAAATTAGGAGATAGTAAGTCATATGAGATCAAAAGTCCTAATCATGACCAGAATTTTTTTAATTATGAGATAAAAAGGTGAAATTATGAAATAAAATGTCATAAATATGATCAACACTGACAAAAGTCAAAATGGCGGTCACTATGACATCATAATTATCACTTATCTCATAATTATCACTTATTTCATAATTATGTATGTCGACTTAGTATGTCGATTTAAATTTTTTATCTCATAACTGAGTGAGTTAGTGTCATAATTTTGACTTAGTACATCATAATGACATAATTTAAACTTTTTATGTCATAATTAGTATTTACGTGACTTTTTTCCCTTATGTGGCGGAAATGGGCATAGTCATTTGTACACCCTTTAAAATTTTAATTCTATATATCTAAATATATACATAAAATTGCTGCTCACTGTTTTAAAGGTGCACTCAGTGTTTTCTCATTAAAATAGCTTTACAAATAGAAATTAATTGTAGTTTTAAAAATTTGTTAACAATCACGTAAATCAACAATTATATAGAATAAAGCCAGCAGTCATATCGGTCACCTAAAAACCGGTTTTATTTTCATGGAGAGGGTGACCTCATAGAATTTGTATTTCTTGCCAGTGTGAAATCCACTGACCAACCAAATCTTGACAAGACCCCTGTTATCTGACACTTTAACTTGTGGAAAATATTTGATATGCATGACAGCGAATAGTGCATTTCTTCAATGGCATTGGTTGGTAAAATTTTACTTTGACACCTAGTGGTGTGGATGCATCAAATAATATCAGTGTAAGCACAACACAAAAAATTACTCGGTGCACCTCTAAAAATGTCTAATACCTACATCTGCACACACATGCCCTGTAAAAACACATCAAACAAACCAAGCAAAACTGAGAAAAAGCTTCATGCATATGGACATCGCACAGGAAATCGTCTTTTCACAAGCCCCCAGCTTATTTCAGAGCTCTGCCACACAGATGGTGAACTGTCACATCAGAGCTGACCAGCAGAGGCCGACACTGGACCACACACAGAGAGAGCGATGACCATGTGACTACAGCGCACCAATGACAGGCATCGCAGCCTAGGGGAGGGGAGAGGTCGAGGCAATGGACACACTACCAGCATATACACGTGCCTGCCCAATGCCACAGTGATGAGAGAGAACACGTGCGTTCATGCCGAAGTCACGTGGTGAATGACAGGTGGTGATGGACAGGTTGACAGGTGATGGGGTGGAATGAGAGGTGGGGTTTTGGTTACCGTTGGTCCGTACCATTGGTCTTACCACAGAGGAGGGGGGAGAGGAGGAGAGGTCAGCTGGCTTTAAAGAAAGACAGACAGATGAAAGCTATAGCAACGCCAACCACCCACTGTACACCTGTGTGTGTGTGTGTGTGTGTGTGTGGGAATATGTGTGGGAAAGTGTCCGTCAGTGTGTTTTGAGGTACATCTGTTGGGTCGTTTGCAGGGGAGACGCCTCATAGCACATCTGTCTTTCTGCCAGCTGAGGGGCTACAGCACATGGTCCGTGTGAGGAGGAGCCATACGCTGTTCTGCAGCCGCAGACTGGAGGATGGGTTGGTGACACACGCAGACACATGCACAGATTTGACATCTCTCACGACCCGAGTCAAGAATCTCTCATAAGGTCTATCACGGTGTGTGTGTGTGATGCAGTGGGTGACTGTATGTGTGACTGTATGTAGGTGTGTGTTGAATTTCTACATGCAGAGAGACTGATTTCTAAATCCTCTGCAGTGCCACGATAGGCTGAAATGACTGTCTATTATATTTTCATGTTTTTATTGCCAATGACAATTCGATTATTTAATCGATGTTGTTGCGGTAGAACTGCAGAGGATCTGGCAACCCCAACCATGCATGTAGCACACACATTACAGAACTGGGTCAACGGTAACTTGTTCCAAATGTGCATCTGTGAGACAGTTATCATGATCAAATCTCCACACAGAGCCACTTTCAGAGGACTGCTCCATATCACAGATATTATCTCACATTGCACAAGTATAGAGATTTGGCACACACTGGTAAACGCTGCCCCCTGGAGGTTACAATCATGCCCATCGGCTGGCTGACACTCAATGATAACTTCAGGTCTTAGGCCTTGTCCACACGGACACGGGTATTTTTATAACCGGAGTTTTTCCTACAGCGTTTTTAAAAAAAATCCCATCCACACATGCTCGGTCTCCGTCTACATGAAAACGCAAAAACACGCTATCAAGCGCGATCAAGAGCATGCCACGCCAGCAGGCGGCGATATAAACCTTAACCCTAAAGCCACGTTGGCCAGTCAGAAGCGCAAATCTGACGTCAAACACAGCGGATAACGGCACACACTCTGACGTCGCAAGGCAAAAACCCCGGTTTCACTGTCTACACGACAGCACTGTAACCGGCGTTTCTGAAAATCCTCACCCTGGCAGGGGTTTTCAAAAACGTTTGGTTTCAGTGCGTTTTCGTGTGGACGAACAGCCGAACCGCGTAAAAAAACTCACGGTTATAAAAATACCCGTGTCCGTGTGGACAGGGCCTTAGGGTGAATATCACGAAAATAAATGTCTTGTTTATATTTTCAAACAAAAGAATCAATCAATCAATCAATCAATCAATCAATCAATCAGTCAATCAATCAATCAATCAACTAAATCAAAATACCCAATTTTAGATCTATTTATTTTAAATAAATTTAGTATTTAACGTAAACATATAAACCATAGTGGTATTTGCCTTATGCATGTTGTATTTAATTTATGCACATTTAAACCCACTTTCCCCAATGATAATAATAATGATAAACTTTAGATGTATTAATTCATTCTAAATAAATTAATTAATATTTAAATGTAAACATAAATTCGAGGTAGTATTTGTTGCATTTTATTTATGCTTAAATGAAAATAAATAAATAAATAAAATAAATCTCCATTTTCTTTATAATATTATATATATATATATATATATATATATATATATATATATATATATATAACATTACTATATCTTTCTTTTTATTCTTTCTTTTTGAGGTAAAATACAAATCAGGACATTTCAAGAGATTCCCCCTGGTTGGTCAATAGGAGTTTTCTGAAATGCGTTTTAGCCAATTAATATCAGTGATTGTGGTTGTATCAGTCAGCCAACAGCTAATGACACAGGGAGCAGGCCTACACAGAATGCTATGAGGGTGTACAAGAGTACAAAAGAAGAAAGAGAGAAGAGACAGAAGAAAAAAAAACACTGAAAAAGGGGAGGAAAATGCAGAACAGAGAGACAGAAAAGAAGAGGCATTCATAGAGAAGGATGCAATGTGGCATCGTCAGCAAGACAGAGCTGGCAAACACTCCCATCTCTCCACCCCCCGCTTCTGTCCAATCAGACACCGCGAATCAGACAGCGCCTCCAACAGGCAGGGAGGACAAAGCACTGAGAGGAGCAGAGCGGCCTCAGGGGGAGGAGGGGTTACATTAACGCTTTTCTAAGGGAGAACAGAGTCGTCCGGTTTCACTCTAATCTCCTTGTAGCACTGAGAGGAGGGACTGGCTATCAGCACGGATTCATCAGTTTCATTTCAGATCACTAATCAGATTAATTAACGGGTTAATGAAGCATGAGAAAAAAGTGCTCAGAGTTTTCTCAAAGGAAAATAAGGGGGGAAAAAACAAACAATCACAATGCTGGGACAAAGGTCATGCCTTTATATCAAATCAGATGCTCGATGAAGAGAAAACTCCAACCAAATCAAACCCAGTCAGTGCTGAAATGGATGTGTATAGCAAAACAGGGGGTATATCTCCGGCACAACTGCTGTCAATCATAAACTACCTTCAATAATTCCTTTTGATCAAAGAGCTCAAATCTTTAACTGAAGTTAAAAAAAACAACAACACATGGACCTGTAGTCTTGTAGTCAATGTTCATCTACCTTCAAGCATATTCATGTAGCTTGATGTTCTCAGAAGATGGAGGATGTGTTTTCATAACTTTTTAGAATAAATAGTAACAGATAAAACCACTACCACTCAAAAGTTTGGGATCAGTTTTTTTTAAATACTTTACCTTTTGACCAATTTAATGCATCCTTGTTGAATTGTTAAAGTAAAGACATTTATAAAGTTACAAATAAATGCTGTTCTTTTCATGAAAAACATCAGTTTCCACAGAAATACTAAGCAGCACAACAGTTTCCAACATAGATATTAATGAGAAATGTTTCTTGAGTACCAAACCAAACTTTTGAAAGGTAGTGTACCTGTATAAAAACAGTGCCAAAGATAAAGTGCTGTCTGAGTTTTAACTACAGATTTTTTTTTTTTTTTTTAAATATGAATTTGACATTTTACAAGTGATGATTTCAGGTGAAACCCAGCCAATCTACCAGATATTCATCAAGTTTCCCATTTAAAACCACATTTAAATGTGGCCCAAATTCGAAGAGAAAAATGTTGACCCTTATATGCGCTTTTGTTGTTTACACACATACAACAAGTCTGTACCAGATCTAAATTGGTTGACAATATAAATTAAGTATTAATACCAATGTGGAGGGGGGAAACAGTTTTTCTGAGTAGAATCTGGGCTCTTCTGTCCAAATGAGTTTGAAGGTTTATGAATCGATACAACAGTTAAACATTTATCAGAATTTATTGAATTATGGGCAACATTGATAAGACTGACCATCCATCTTAATGTAACTGATTGGCAAAACAATTTGATTGAATATTGATTGTGAAGCCAGAATATATCACCCTGAGAGCTATACAAGGTCATTCATGCCTATGTGTGCGGGTGGAGGGTTAAAGCAACTCCATCTTTGTTAGTGTGGGAGGGTTATGGGGGTGCAGGCAGGCAGATTGAGAGAGAGAGATTACTTACGTTAACCTCTGTGATGGCTATATCAACAACACTACCCACTACAATAAGGGCATCAAACGTGTTCCATGCATCAACAAAATAATGCTGGACGGAAAAAAATGAAAAAGAAAAGGAGAGAGGAGAAAATAAGGAAGAAAACAGTTACACATGAACATTTAACTCACAGAAGACATGAGGAAAAAAATCATAAAATCAAATGACGGGTGTGAAGAAATCAAAACGAAATCAGAGAATCCCATGATGACCTGGGACCTGTCATGCTCCACAACAGCAGTCAAACATCCATCAAAACCACCCTGAAAAGAATGGCCGGGACTCCTGGGTTAGTTCAGGTGTGACTGTTAGTTACAGCAAAAAAATATACATCACGGCCTGGAAGATGAATACAAGCGTTCGCTCTCTCTCTTTCACTGGCCTACTGAAAAACGCTCCTGTTCGAACCATTCGTTTTCTTGCGCGCTGTGTGCCCTAAATAAACCTCTCACCACCAGAGGGCGACCTGCCATAGAAGCCATCTTGCCATTGGAACAGGAAATGAAGAGTTGGAGGAGATAGCAGGAGCAGAGAATGGCAGGAAGCACAGGGGAATGAAAGACAGCAGAGATGGACAGGAGAGCAAAAGAGAGAAAAGGAGGTGGGAAAAGAGAGAGAGAGAGAGAGAGAAAGAGAGAGAGGTGGCGATGTACTTACGTTGATCTCACTCAGAATGACGTCTATAATGCTGCCAATTACGATGAGGAAGTCAAAAACATTCCAGGGGTCACTAAAGTAACCCTACACAGGACGAGGGGAAGGTGGGGTGAGGGGTGAGAGAGGGCAGTTAGAGAGGCAGAATTGACCATAACTAGCGCTGCCCGTACCCATGATGCATGAGCACAGTCAACATCCCAAATGCTCGTTAGCCAATTACAATTCAGCACAACAAAATCACCTCATCCAGACTTTCAGGAAATTACTGATTAAATATATCCATTTCCACAGGAAAATGCTCTTAGAATTGTGTTGATGCTCTTGTATACTGGGAAAAGATGGCTTTCATTGCGCTAGAGGAATTCTGAGAGCACGTCTGCTTCTTCCTGTGAGTAATTCTGAGCGGTAATATTTGATTTGTGCTTAATAGGGCAGGAAACCTTTAACGGACTGGAAATGGCTGCCAAGTTATGCAAGAAATAAAGCTCTTTAAACACTAACTGATAGAATTACTGGCTGTCTATGTCTTAAGGCAGGCGATGTAACTCATTTCTGAAGAAGAGCGTGAGAGAGACTATTATTTTACATTACATTTATCTCAGTCATCATCTGGGGCAAAGCTAGTGATTGTAGTTAAAGCCATATAGGGTAAATAAGTGAAATGTGACATTTCTGGTGATAAGCAGAGTTATCCACTATAAACTGCATTTTTGATAAAACAAAACAAAACAAAAACAAAACAAATAAAAACATAAGCAAATGAACAGAAAACATCTAGCCTGGAGGACAGCTGCAAAAATTGGTTATTAAATGGCACACAGCAAAAGAACACAAAAGCACTGATAATAAAATACTAAACAATGCATGCTGGGACATCTGTATTAAGAATAGCTCATAGTCTAATCATCTCAAATCTGATATTTAAAAATTATATATAATTTCATTTTAAAGACTTGATTTTGAGTATTTCATGGACACAACAGCCTAATAATAAATCTAAATTCACTGCTTAATTTAAATTTTTTGTAATATATAATACATAAAAACAAGCAGGGTGTGTGTGAGGACGTACCCTTGGTTTGAAGGCGATGAGTTTGAGGATCATTTCCACAGTGAAGAGGCCGGTGAACAACATATTGAGGATATTCATGGCTTTGTTGAAGGACTGAGATTGACCATGATGCTGCAAACAACAAAATTAATAAAAAAAAATATATTTTTTAAAAAGATAAGGATCTGTGTATTTGTCTGTATGCATTAGTTAGGTTCCTGAGTGTACTGACCTGCATGGCCAGGCAGATGGTATTGAGAAGAATGAGGGTGAACATCAGGTACTCAAAGTAGGTGGAGTTCACCACGTACCAAACCTTGTACTGATACGGGTTCTTGGGGATGTACCTGCGCAGGGGGCGAGCCTTCAGGGCATATTCCACACACTGACGCTGTACACACACACAGAAACACATGGACATATATAATCAGAGTTACACTTTAAAACACTCTCTGTATTCCTGAAGAAATACTATACATTTCAACCATTATCAAAAACATTCATTTAACCAAACTCGATTTATTTACTGGTCTACCTGGTTCTTGTCCAGCTCACAGTTCTTGTACTCTTGCTCTCCCTGCTCCTGAAATGTCACAATCACGAAACCTACAAATATGTTCATCATGAAGAAGGCGATGATGATGATGTAGATGATGAAGAATATAGAGATGACCACCCGGTAGTTGTAGATCGGCCCAACATCCTCTGTATGGGAGTCAATGGCTCTGTAGAGGAGCCTGTGGGAGGACAGAGAAGTTCCTGTCAGTGTTTTGAATCACTGTTTTGAATTAAAAATATATATTACAGACTGTTCACTTGAATAAATATATTAAAATAGAAACACATATTTTAAATTAAATTTTTGATATATAGTGTATGTGAAGTATGTCTGTGAGCATATGAGTAAGTGTCCGTGAGTTTGTGTATCGTACGCTGGCCAACCCTCAAAAGTAGACACGGCAAACAGAGCCATCATGCCCTGCAGAACATCATCAAAGTTGAAATCACTATTCTCCCATGAACGCAGAGCTTTCTCTGGCTTCCCAACATTCCCATCCTTGTACAATATGTATGACCCCCTGTAACACAAACACACACACACACACACACACAGATGAATTGGCTTTGAGCAGTTTTTTTAACTGTAAATGTACATCTTTGCATCCAAAGACAAAGGGACGTTACCTGCAATCGGCCTGTGTCTGTTTAGAGGTGTCTGTGCAGTAGTAGAATTTGCCCTAGAAAACAAACATTAGTTCACACACATTGACTAATGTGCCAACAGCACATACAAAACAACAGCTGGGTTCCGGAATTAAAAAAAATCATGTTTATGTTCTCTATAGAGAAATAGGTTTTTAATGTATAAACCTGTTCGATCTGTTACTGAAGTGTGTGTTGTGAAACAGCAGAACTTACCTTGAAGAGTTGAACACCAATACAGGCAAACATGAACTGCAGCAAAGAGGTGACGATGACGATATTCCCAATGGTGCGGATGGCTACAAACACACACTGGACCACATGCTGTGGATGCAAATAAAGCTCTCAATTAAAATAAATGTTCATCACATCTATCACAATACATGAAAAGCATTGGTCAGAGTCATCTGAACAGTTTTTTGTGCAAATTTTCTGTGAATAAAAGAGAGACTCACTTTGAGGCCCTTGGCTCTGTTGATTGCTCTCAGGGGCCTCAATACCCTCAGCACTCTGAGAATCTTCACTACATTAATGGCACTTGACCTGTGAATCACAGCGCACAGTTTAGCACCACCAATCACACTGGCTAATTACTGATCATGTGACCTACGCACAACACTATACAGAGATGCAGATTCCCACGGACAGCAGGGGAGGTGAGAAATGCAACTCCATATTAATCTTAATTACACTGGATATGACCATTTATATGTATAGATTAAACGTAAAAAAACAGTTAAAAGTTTTGTTTCATAATAATTAATATTAAAATATACAAAAATATATTTAAAAAAAATTGAAAGTGAGCAACAGGGTCTCATTTACAGTTGGGATTTAGTTTTAATTTAGATTAAGGATTTATATTTAAATGTCGTTGCTGACCTCCTCCCATAGGATGCTAATTAATTTAGTGCCAGAAATTTGGAACAGACAGCATCTTTATTGGCCCAGTGTTATTTATTTTAACATTATTTGTATTATAATATTTATTCATATTTTTGATTAGCTTTCATGTTCATATTTTCAGTTTAATTTTAGTTTAAATTATCTTTATTTCAGTTTTCATTTTAGTACTTAAACTTTTATAATTTTATTAGTTCCCAAGGCATCGTTTCAATTTCCATTATCATTTTTTACCACAAGGTGACACTGTATCAACTGAAACTTTTTAAATACCCTCAGAGGCATGGTGATGACACTTACTAAGATTCGTAAGGATACGCCAATGTGGTCATACAAATTCTAAATGGCCTACACCTAAAATAACTGGGTAACTGGGAAATAGTAACACTGGGTTGGCTGTGTCACGTCTTGGTTGTGGTCCATGTTTCATGTCAGTCATGTTTCCTGTTGTAATGTGATGTCCATCCATGTGTTCCCAATGTGAATGTGTCATGTTGTCATTGGTTGATTGTCATGATTATGTTCACAGGTGTCACTTGTCTAGTCATTAGTGTGTATTTAAGCCCTCATGTTTTCCATGTGTCCTGGGGCCTGTACCATGATGGTAGTTGAACAAACTCCGGGTTACAGGATTAGTTTTGAGTTGACCAAACCAAACCGGCTTTGTTGGTACCATGATGCTGATCATCAACTTTATCAACTCAGGCTTGGATCCTGAGTATAGGTGTGACATCAGTAGCCAACAGCCAATCACATGCTGAGAAGAGAGAAGCAGCGCGATTCACTTTTCTCTTCTGCAGAATATTTTTTTTTAAATTAGGAATTTAAACAAATTTACACACCAAGAACAAAATAGCTGTCTATGAAAGAGCACAACTAAAAGAAAAAGTCTTGCTATATCAGTGCAAGTAAAAGTTGTGAAGTTAATTTATTCAGTTGATAAAGGTATAGAGAGCATTGAACTTTTAAGATCACATTTTGTTCATTTTATAGCTTAATCTATTGATTCTAAAGCGTATTTATATTACCTTTATATATTTATTCCTTTAAATTGTACTTAAAAAAAATGATAAACTAAAATTGTACGTGTGATCGATTAATAATTACATGAATAATATCTAAATCATACAAAATTATTATTTTAAATAAGTGTTACTAAAAGCCAGACGATTTTGTCTTTAAAAATCATTTGCTATGTAGTGACCTTTAATTTGGAGTAGAAACAGGTGGAGTGACTTTATCCTTTGCTCACAGCTGATTGGTCCAATTTCGGGTTGAGATCTCTTACCTGGAACATAATCTGCCCCGGACCAGGTTAGCCGTGGAGTGTGAGTTACTATGGCGATGAACACTGCTAAAAGCCAAACCACTTTCATGGTGCATAAAACCTAGGGTTGGCGCAAACTAAACTGAAACATACCTGGCTAGCCAGCTAAACCGGCTTCATGGTATAGGCCCCTGGTCAAGTATTGTTTCCCTGTAACCACTGTTGGTAAGCGTCATGTCCATGTTTCTGTTTTGAGTTCCATGCCAAGCCATTCCTTTGTTTTACGTTTGATCTTGTTTTGAGTATTAATAAATTGCACTTGGGTTCTACAACTTGCCTCTAGTGGATCACCTGTTACAGGCTGGACATGAACTGAATAGCATTTGATTGGACATAGATATTAAAAAGGGTTGCACTGGATAGGTTATTTGTGACATGAGAAGCAGTAGTACTGGTTAGTTTGTCAGTTAGTTTGGAAAAAGTACTTACTGAATTCCAGAGGAGATCAGAGACACACTGACCACCACCAGATCCAAAATATTAAAATAATTTCGACAAAATGAACCCTTATGTAGGAACGCTCCATACGCTGTCATCTGAGAGGAAGAGCAGACAAATGGAGAGACAGCGAGGAATTAGATGAGTATGAAAGAAACTCATGAGAAGGTTATAGTAGGAAAGATATTATTAGCATGAAATGAACAAGGACACATTTACCTTTACATGTAAATTTACCTTTAATATGATCTCTATGGTGAAGATTCCTGTAAACACATAATCTGCATAGCCTAGAATCTAGCAGAGAAAAAGTGAGACACGCACATATCAAAGCCTCGTAACAGCAGCGCTACAAATATGATGTATATGTCAGTGTGTGTTTGCGTGTACCTGATTCCTGAATGAGTCATTCTTCACTGGGTCCTCCGCTGCCAGTGAAATGCTGCTCAGCAGTATAAAGAACAGGATTAAATTGGTGAAGACGTTGTGGTTTACAATCTTATGACACAAAACCCTGAACCTACAGAAGAGAGAGAGAGAGGTAGGAGAGACATTTTCGAGTGTGGACTGTAGAATACATACCGAGTGACATAACCCACTGAAAATCAAGGTCTATAGGTGTGTGTGTGTGCATTTCATACTTGTTACTGGGGCTGAAAATAAAGAAAGCTCTGGCTTCTGGCATGGGGATGGCTTTCTCCTTCAGCTGAATGTCGGAGAGTGGACGTGGACGAGGACCTACTGGCATCTCTGGCTCTTCCTCGTCCTCCGCTCCTGCTAAAAAGAACAGACAAAAGAGAATTAAAAAAAAAAAAAAAAAAATCCACTAACTGCATCAGACACATCATTCCTCAACAGTCCAACAGAAGAAGTCTTCGCATCACTCTAATGACCCACGTCATCTAGTGAAGGTGACAAGGGCCGGGGAGAAGATCTTTTCTCAACTGAAAAACAATTCACATCGAGTGCTCCCAGAGCTGAATAAAACAGGCCTGGGCTCTTCTGTGGAATTACTTCTGTCAGTTTCCTCGGTTTTTTTATTTTTATATAAATATATTTTTAACACACCTGGGAAATCGTTCACAGGATATGGATTCTTCTCTTCGTTCTCCTCCCCCGTGTACTCATCTATGTTGATCTAAAATCAGAGAAGCAAACCATTTTAAAAATGTTATAATATTAATTATTATACAATTAATACTATTATTTTAAAATGATTATTATTAATAATAATATTATATTATTATTATTAATTATTATTATAAATACTTTTTTACCCAACAAATTACTGTAAAGGGAAATTAATTTAAAAAAACGATTCATTAGAAGAATTAATTATTACAAATAAATGAACAACTACAAAGTCCCAGTGCATCTGTAAATGGCTGTGTATTCGTGTATGGTTTGTATGTCATTTTTTCCACAATAAACAAAGATTTGAACATTTGTGTCATTTATTTATCATGGTGTTGTTACCACCATTTTAAACAAGTCATTCTAGGCTGTGTGCAGAATAAAGATTTGCCTTTGGAGATAATAATATTATAATTAAAATTTAAATTATTATTATTTCTTCGCCCAAATTACTGGAAAATGTTAATTAATCCCCAAAAACTTAATTAGACAATTATTTTGAAGAATTATCTTAATAATAGATTAATTGATACAAAAAGTCCCTGTCCATCTAAATATAAATGCCTGCATATTTGTGTGTGTGGTCCGTTGTCTTTTTGCATTGATGCATTGAGATTTTTTATGTTAATTAACTTTCTCCTTTATCGTATTTACAAATATAAATACAGTGTGTGGTGCTTTCAGAATGTACTACTGGGACTATCAATTAATCCAAACAATATTATGAACATAAGTGATTTTAACATGTTTTTGATTTCACTCTAGGGTGTGCACTATATTCCTATTATTATTGCTTTATTTTGTGTTTCTATCTCTGCCTCTTGCTAGTGACCTTGGTGGCAGTTGGTGTCTCTCCATCAGAAGTGATGGATTTTAGTTCAATCTTTTCCTCTTTCTTTTTATCCTCCAGAGGTGGTTTCTCAGAGTTCTGGCGCTTCTCGGGACTAGCCGTTCTGTAAGACAGAAATCACGTCATAAATGTGTGTGTGTGCAGCTCTACCGTCCCACTAAGCACCTGTATTTACAGCTCTTCAGAGGGGCAAAAACACTTCTGTAAAACGATACTTCATTTCCTAATGAAGTCATAACCGATACAGCCTTAATGAGCTCATTAAGCGAGAGACAGGAAATCCTCATAGGAAGGTTTAATAGCCCCTCAGACCATCTAAAAGCACTGCACTTATATGAACTGAGTCACTGAACCTGGCTAGTTTCTTCCTCTCTTTCTCCTCCTCTTCCTCTTTCTGTGCTGATGTCAGACTTTCGGCGTCTGCCAAGTTGTCCACGGCAATGGCCAAGAAGACATTCAGGAGGATGTCTGTTTAGAGTTCAGGAACATCCAGGAACAGAACTATCAGTTTTATAAGATTAGAAACAGGTGTTTTTTTTAGGATACAGTTTCCACAGATGAAGAGGATGATGAAATAAATGCAGACGAGCATGCCAGGAAAGGAGGGCCCTCCATAGGCCATGATGCCATCATACATCACAGAGTTCCAGTCCTCACCGGTTAAAATCTACAATCACAAAACAAATTCATGTCACACATGGGTCATGTTTAATGACACATGTAGAGTGTGTGCTGAGATTCAGACTGTGGCAGAACCTGAAAGACGGTGAGGAGAGACTGGGGGAAATTATCAAAGGTGCTGCGGCGGGTCTCATCGAAGTTGAACTTGCCACCAAAGAGCTGCATTCCAAGCAGACTGAAGATGATGATGAACAGGAAGAGCAGCAGAAGCAGGGACGCGATCGAACGCACCGAATTCAGTAGAGACGCAACCAGATTACTGAGAGAGTTCCAGTACCTGAGAATGGACAGTCAGAATTAATACAAAGTCACACACCACAACTAGCTAAACATACACACACACACGTCTCAAACACATACCTGGTGATCTTGAAGATGCGGAGCAGACGTACGCAGCGCAGCACAGAGATACCGAGGGGTGACATGATCTTTGTCTCCACCAGGATGGTCTCCAGAATCCCACCGCACACCACAAAACTGTCGAAGCGGTTAAAAAGGGAGACGAAATAGGCCTGTAGGCCCAGGCTGTACATCTTCAGCAGCATCTCACCGGTAAAAAGAGCAAGCAACACCTTATTGGCGATATCTGTAGGCACATAAACAACACATCCATTCACTTTAAGATTTATACAAATTCAAAAGTTCGGAGTCAGTAAGATTTTTTTTAATGAAATGAATACTTTTTATTCAGCAAGGAGACATTAAAGTGATCAGAAATGACATTAAAGACATTAATAATATTACAAAAGATTTATACATTTAAATAAAAGCTGTTCTTTGGAACTTTCTATATAGGTATTTATCAACGAGTTTCAACGTTGATAATAATATTAAATGTTTTTTGAGCAGCAAATCAGCATATTATACTGATTTCTGAAGGATCATGTGATACTGAAGACTGGAGTAATGATGCTGAAAATTAATTTCATTTATTTTAAATTGTAATAATATTTCACAATATTACTGTTTTTAATGTATTTTTGATCAAATAAATGCAGCCTCAGTAAGCATAAGAGATCTTAGAACAGTAGTGTACATTGAGTGGATCCGAAAAAACAAATATAGTGTGACATTACACACAGAATCAATATTGTGTTATTTTTTTATATATATATTTTTTTTATATCTACAGTAATGTAGCATTATTAACAGAGCAGCCTTGGTCGGCCAAGTATTTTTCATTTTGTCTATAGACATTTCAAAACATCTTTTAATATAGATAGACCAGACCAAGGCTCTGAGATCAATCACATTACAACATTTGACAGGGTTTAATGAGACTGGATGGTCACTGCTGAGCTCCAAGAGACTGTAGAGCAGGGATGGGCAACTTCGGACCTGGAGGGCCACTTTCAGAGTTCAGCTCCAACCCAAATTAAACACACCTGAACAAGCTAATCAAGGTCAAGAATGCTATTTCCTGGGTTAGAAACTCTGCAGGACAGTGGCTCTTTAGCCCTCTGAAGTTGCCCATTCCTGCTGTAGAGAGATATGAGACATGGAACACATAAAAGTAGCATTGCCAAAGGGAATTAAACTAATTACAGTACAGTTTATCAAAAGTTTATCAAAGATACATTTTTACAAATATTTGACCGCTCAAAGCTACATTGTTTTATATTTCAATAGTTACAGTATTTTAGTATTGTATTTTGAAATATGTACAGTATTGTAATGTTGAGTACCTTGAACATTGGTGAGCCAGTCTAGCTGCTGATGGTGCTCTGAGGCAATGGTAAGTGTGTTCAAAAATACCAGGAAAATCACCAGCCAGTAGAACACATTTGACTTCACTGCTGCGCGGCACTTGCGCCGGCATAACCGATTCCACCGGCGTGAATATCGACTGCAAAAACAAAGACAGAGAGATAGAGAGACGAAGAGAAGAATGTTATATAAAAAGTTCAGAATTCAAAGTATGTGCAACCTGATTCTTCAACCCGCAATTCTTACCAGCTGGGATAAATATCCTTTCAGTATTCACTAACTGCACTTTCTATAAACATAACTATGTGTGTTTCAACTGGCAGTGATTGGAAATTCTGCTGCTCTGAATTATTTTGGCATCTATAGCAAACAAGTCTGAATAATTCTGAACTTGTTAATGGATATGCAGCCACTGATTAGAGGGCAACCGTGATGATCAAAACACAACACTGGCATCAAAACACAACACACACATATATATATATATACATGAGAGGCAGCCTCGCCTGCAGACGGTATGTAATGTACTAACCTGAATTTGGATTTGGAGATCCTATTTCTGGAATGGAAAACAGAATGTATTATACATTCAGAACAGACACGACATCATGAAGGACAGTGTTTCCACAGAGACATCAGAACTGGGGGGGCAGTCAGGTGGGCTTGCTCATACATCATCACTGTTACAGCGCCCCCATGTGGAACAAAAGATGATGAGCAGGAGCAACTGAGTGACACCCATAGATAGACAGACAGATAGACATAGATAGACAGATAGATAGATAGATAGATAGATAGATAGATAGATAGATAGATAGATAGATAGATAGATAGATAGATAGATAGATAGATAGATAGATAGATAGATAGATAGATAGATAGATAGATAGATAGATAGATAGATAGATAGATAGATAGATAGATAGATAGATAGATAGGATATCAACAGGTCTGTTTTAGTTTAGTGTGATGCATTGGCTTGACAAATGTTGTTTTCAGGAAAGACTTATAGTTTACAGCATAGGTTCTCAAAGTGCGGCCCGCGGGCCAATGGCGGCCCGCCGAAACATTTCTGGCGGCCCGCGATAACATCTGATAACATCTGTAAAACTGTTAAAACTATTGCTTTGAAAAAATGAATATCTCCGTTTAGTGGTGTTTAGCGACATCTATAGGCATAAGCGGTAATTACATGGTCCGACCGACCGATCGCACTTGACCTCACTCCCAAGGCCACCAGGAACAGTGGTTGTCTACACAGGAATAGGAATCGTGGCCAACCGAAACCAGCACCACAAATCCCATTGCAATTTAAAAGGGTATGTTGACCAAGTAATCAATATTCAATGTGACTTAATAATAATCTTAACAATGTCAAGCTTATTAATAGCCGCGTTTCCATTAGCCTACCTTTCAAATTTTTCGCGGGCGCGAACACTTGCATTTTCCTATCAACAGTGGAAACAACTTAAACTAGTCTATCATTTCTGGTCATACAGAAAATAATAATGCATTATTCGCAACTACTTTTATTTGTGTAAACTCATAACAAGAAAACGTGCTTTTGTAAAATAAAATAAAACAATCAGTAGGCCTAGGCTACGCGCTTTCATGATCTCCGTGAACTGGAGCGCGAGAACTGAAACAAAATATAGCCTATGTAGGCTAAAGCTTAAAATGTGCACTTTAAAACAAACAAACTCGAATCGAAAGCAAATACCTGATTATGTGATCCGTATGAAAGGTGGATTTCTCTCTAAAAGCGCATCTGCTTAACAGCGGAGATGGAGATATGTTTTTAGCCGACACTTAACAATAGTTTATTAATAAACAATTAAAATGCCTCGCTGTTTTTTCAGACGCATTTATTATCATTAGCCTATAACTCACCTCTAAATCAGGCTAGATCAGACACAGGCTATATGGCTCTTCTCATTCATCACTGCGGGAAAAATATAAATTCCAGGTTCTAATTTGGCCTTAGAAAACCAGTATTCCATATTAATTTGTGAATATTTAAAATATTTAATAAAGGGGCAAAAAGTCACTTAAACAAAAATCTGAAAAAGTCTGTCGATATTTACTTTTTTTGCGCAGCAGTTGGTGAAGCCAGTTCAAATTAAAATTGTGTTCAACTTTGCGTTTTAAAAAGACAACAACCGTTCATTTTTCGTTTTTCAGTTACGGGTTAAAAAAGATACATAATAATATGCAAATCTGCAATAATGGAAACGCGACTAAAAAGCAATGATAGAAATGAATGATGATGATGACTTGTTTGGTAAGCTTCTATTTTAAAAGTTTCTTTCTCTCCCCACCCAAGATTTTCACAAGTTTTGCCAGGTTTAGCCTCAGTTAAGTTAATTAAAATGTGTTTATTGCAACTAATGTAAACTGTAGAGATGCAACCTGGTCATTAAAATAATTTCAAATGGGATTTTCTTTTCAGTTTTTTTTTCTTTTTCGTTTTCTCCCCCGCCCCTTTGGCGGCCCTCAGTTCAATGTTGGGTTCCTAAATTGGCCCTCACCTATCAAAACTTTGAGAACCCCTGGTTTACAGGAATACATTTTTGTTCAATACATTTTTTCGTTTAACTTTGTATTCACATTTGCGAGTAATTGAACAGTTCTTCTGATTTAACAGTTTAATAGATTCACATTCAATTTTCAATATCTGTGGGAATGTTTGTATATAATAACTATTATGGCTATAGTGTTCCTATCTGTGTTTGTGACATAAAACACTGATCACTGACAGGGCAGATCAGCTGGAAAACAGACAACAGCAACAGATGCACAGAGAGAAAACGACACTGAAGATCACGGGAGCGCCAGAAGCCGCCCACTGGGCCATGCTGACCTCGCCTGCCAGTTTACTGCCAAAAACCTGGGACTCCGTTTAAAACTAGAGCTCAACCTTACAACTGAGATTTCTGTAAATGTCTGAATACTGAAAAGAATATGTCTGAAGAGGATTAAACATGGGGCAAAATGAATATAGGAATTAGAGAAAAGCAGAGGAGATGATCAGGAAGGAGAACAGAAGCAAGAGGAGAAAAGAGGATGAACGGAATGCTGTGGAGACTTACGCCATACGGGTACAGCAGGTCTCTCCTTCCATGTCTCCAGCTGGAGCATTATCAGTGTTCACTGACTCATTTTCACTCGCCGGCATACTCACTAAGAGAGAGAGAGAGAGAGAGAGAGCGAGAGAGAGATGAATTACCAGTAAAGACGATACTCATTGCTCATCAAAGGCTGGTTTCACACACGCACTGACAAACAAGAAACTGACTTCCAACCTGTAAAGAACACTTTGACAGCAGAGATTAGATCAGGGTCCAAAATAAAAAAATACTAAATGTCAAATGCCAGTAATCACAATATATTTTCACTATTTTTGTGATAAGTGCAGTTTCACTGAGAAACAGAGACTAGATAATTTTGTATATAATGCTGCAAGCATCATAAAGCTGGTTGTCAGCAATATGCAATAATAAAAAATGAATAATCCTAAATTCCACAGAATAAAAAAAACTAAATCATTACATACAAACATAGTTGTTACTGTGCCAGTTCTTTATAAACACAGTCCTGATAACATCCAAGCCAGCTTTTCATCCATATCCATGCTCAGATGTGACCTTCAACGTTTAAGATGAACCATGATTAAGATGAAAGTGCTTGCAAAGAATAAAATACCACACTTCATCAACAGACACATACTTACAACATACTATACTCTTAGTATAGTTTTATGGGTGTTGAACCTATGAATCAATCTTGATTAAACTAGGCCTTAAATACATAAAAAAAAAAAAAAAAAAACGGAAAACAAAACAAAAAACAGTTTGACAAACTTACCCAAATATGTCATGTAAAAGATTCTGTTGCCAGCCAAAAGTCTAATCTACCAATCAGCATGCAGGCCTACAATTCCATCTCATTAACATGCATAGGGGGCGGGCTCAAGCAGGGTCTCTAAATTCCATGCTGCATCCTCATTGGCTCTGACCTTTTTTCCCCTAATTCTATTTCTCAAAAAAAAAATATATATATATATATATATATATATATTTATATATATAATATATATATATATATTATCAACCAGAATACACCACCCTTGGAAATGGGATTATGGGATTATGTTTGATCGAATATCACGAGAGAAGATTACAGATGTCGAACAGTGACATTGCATCATTAGTACACTGATGATGTATTTAGAAAATTAATGTATTTTAGATGGAAATGATTGTTACTCTTGTCATTTTTTCTTCTTGTTTTATTAAAGATATAAAAAAATAACATAAACACGAATGCAAATCTAGCGTAGACCGATGGGGATAGGCAACATGAGTCAGAAAAAAATATGTCCACAATACTTTGCATCCTATCTCTCTATGAACGTCTCACAATGGCTGTCAAAGAGAAACCACAATCTCAGAGTCAGAACCATCTGGACCGTGGTGTGCACAGCAGAACTGTTTCTGTCTAGGCATCACATGCAGATCACATCAGAACAGGAGCCTGTGTGACTGAAATGTAATACAAAGCACCTGATTCTGATTAAAATACCTGGAGAGAAAAAAAAAAAAAAAAAAAAACAACAACATGCTAAAAGTCCAGATATTTCAAACAGAAAAAACTTCTACCACCCAAAAGAGCAGTGGGCCAAAATTTCAAAACTCTCAGATCTTCATGCCCATCATCCTCATTCAGAAATCTAAAAGAACTGAGCAGGGAGTCCCCATCACCCTCCGTACCCAGATTGGAGGGTGAGGATGGGTTAGGGGTCAGTATAAAGGTCTGGGAGGCTTGTTGCACTTTTGCCATGCAGACGCAAAAGTAAACCGTGGTTGCTATTGAGACGCACACGCCTTACGAAGCAGAGCCGCTTTTTTCTTCACCGCTCCACGGATGTACTGTAAACGATGAGTCTTCCCTGAAAACAACAGAGCAAGACTCAAACAGTCAAAGACAGACACATTCGCAGACACTGAAAGAGAGAGAGAGTCCACCAGTCCTCTCCATCCTGAACATTTATCATTGAGCACGCAAGTCACACCCAACACTTAACATAAAACATCACTGTTCATACAAAACACACAAATAATTGTTGCATTAATGAGGTGCAGTTCTATTTTGTGCCACTAGATGTGCGTCAGCATGTGCATTGGGGTATATCTGAATATATTGTACGTGTGTGAAAGTCCTTTCCCATCTGATCTCAGTACACAATCTCAGGCTATGAAAAAAGTCCAAATACACACACACACACACACACACACACACAAGTATATCCCTGCAAGAACTTATCGTTTGCATCTATTATTCTTAACATAGATGAATTATAATTACTCTAAACAAACCCTAAGCATAAAGCTGGCATTTTTAGACATCTGGCTCGATCTAGATCACTATCTATATCCTCTCTGAAATTTGTATCCTTATTGAAATATCCTCACAAGGAGGTTTGGTCCGCTTCTGTTTGCTGCTTTTTTTATATCCCTAATAAGGACTGCAAAGCCAGTCCACATACAAGCACAAACGTCCATAATATCTCTTTGAGTTTCGGTTTGTGGTGAGTTTCTGATGGAGAACTCTCATCTGCAGTATACAGTAATATGAGCTAATGATTTATATCTGGATGAACGTATTCCAAAGGTTTTGTCCACTAGAACTTGGCAGCCAATGTGCACAGTTAATCTTTTAAGGTGAGCTGCTGTTTATTTTCAAATGGAAAACAGAGACAGAAAACTAGCCAATAGGCAAATTTGTTTCTTCAGAGAATATTACCCAAAATCCACACAGTGTTTCTAATATTTCAGGATTGTTTGCATATGTAGAGAGTGAGAATGTACATCAGCCTTGCTGTGTGATGTCAGGCCTTGAGCATGCATGAAGGGCCAGAGATAAAAGAAAAAAAAAAATTCGTGTAGATATATATAGATTTGGAAGTATTTTCAGATTAAGTATAGATTAAAGCAATCATTGGAACACTTAAAACATTTCAATGTCCTCATTTGCTTTCAAAATTAATATATTAAATATGCATGGACAAAGTTCTCGCACACAACTCGGATTTTAACAAACTAAGAGCAGATCAATTCCCTATCCTAGAGCTTCCCTGCGTCGTACTTACGATTTCTAGGTTTGTCGTCATCCAGTCCCTCGTCGTCATTCTCAGGGTCGATATCCTCCGCCTGCGTGATCCAGTCCAGGTAGCCCTTCAGATCCTCCTCCAGCTGCTGCTTCTCACGGAGCTTCTGGAAATCGCCGCGAGCTTTGGCCTTTTCTCGCTCTTTAGAGAACTCTCTGAAAAGAGGAGAGACTTCTGCTAAATATCCATCCTTTAAACTGAATTAAGAATTAAAGAATTATTCTTAAAAGTGCAATTAAATATTATAAAAGTGATTAAAGTCAGCATAAATTGGTATTCACTAGTTCACTATATGCACTAGTTTTTGTCACCAAGGCTGCATTTATTTGATCAAAAATACAGTAAAAACATGAATAATGTACAATATTAATACAATTTAAAATAACTGTTTTCTATACTAATATATTTTAAATTGACTCTCAGTGATTACTCCAGTAAAATTACTCCAGTCTTCAGTTTCACATGATCCTTCAGAAATCATTCTAATATGTTGATTTAGTGCTCAAGAAACATCGTGTCGCACAAAAGAACAGCATTTACTTGAAATAGAAATCTTCACAACATTATAAATGCCTTTTGTGTCACCTTTGATAAATGTAATGCATCCTTGATGAACAAAGGTATCAATTTCTTTAAAAACTAATCTTACGGATCCCAAACTTTTGTACATTAGTACTTTCATGAAACAGAACAAGATATTCAACGAGAAATTTTTAAAGCTGATTTCATGTTGACTTTTGGGCACATTTTGAAGAAGTGTGATTAAATTCATAGCAAAGTTGGCTATAAAATGCACACATGTAATTAGATATTAAAGAGTGTCATCAGAAACCAATTTTTTATAGAAAGAGAAAAAGGAAACAAAACACCTCCGATCCTTCATTGTTTACATTTGTGTTAAACAGAAAATACACAGAGCTCTCTCACACACACACACTCTCTCCGACAAAGGATAAAAATTCAGTTAGAAAGAGAGAAAAAAATATGGAGAGAGAATGAATGAGTGTCCCTTACCCGCTTAAAACCCCAAGAACCAAATTAAGAACAAAAAAGGAGCCAATGATGATTAAAGTGACAAAATAAAGCCACGGCCAGGAATTCCCTACAGCATCATTGACCTGGGAATGGAGGGAAGGGTTGAAATATGGGGAGAGAGAGGGATGGATGGAGGGGTACAGAGGGATGAATGATCGATTAGTATGTGTCTGCTGGACATGGACAGTGCTACACAAACCCTCTGTGGCTCGCTCAATCCCAGTGCTTTAAGAAAAAAAAATGTTGGATGGTTCAGTGAGAGCTTGTTGTATTGTCCACAGAAAACACACACACACACACACTCAGCACACAATGCTTACCCGCTCAACACACCCAGAACCAGATTTAGAACGAAAAAGGATCCAAAGATGACCAGACTGACAAAATAGACCCACGGAAGCTCATAACCCATGGCATCCTGCATCTGAGACGAGGAGGGGACAGTTAGAAAAAAAGACAGAAGAGTGGAGAGAAGAGGAAGACAGTCAGCAGAAACGAGTGCAGTGAACAGCACATGCTTGTCCCTCTGAAACCCAGAACATCAAGCAAACCCATGAAGCATAGAGCATCTTCAACAGAGAGAAAGACAGAGAGAGAGAGAGAGAGAGAGAAACGTTCAGCCGAGTCTTTTTGACTGTGTTACAGGATGTTATCAGGAAAACCGTCAATCACTTTAAGTATCTGTGAGAGTGCAGAAGACTGAGATACAGTATAGATGGCCTGTAGAGATCAGCAGTGATAATCACACACAGAGGGCTCAACAGGGTTTTTTTCTGCTAGCGACTGCGAGTCAGGCATGTAGTCCTTATTTTTACTTGCCTTGCAAACATTTTCAATGGTTCCATCATACAAGAATGTTCAATGTTTAGTTTTAGCAATGGTTTTATATATTTGCTAGAAATATACTGATTATATACTAAAATTATAAGTTTACAAATAATTTACTAATTTTTTCTTTACAAAAAGCAAAGTGTAACACACTGGAAATTATACAGCTATAATATAACTTCATAAATTCATAAAAACTCTTTTGCTGGAAAATAATGTCATATGATGTTTTCAACACATTCAACACATTCTTACTGATGTTTAGCAAGTTATTTCTGTAAATTTAAAACATTATCTTGGTGAAAAATTGACAGAATCATTTTCAATGTAACCAAAGGTTTAAGTATAAAAATGGATGTACAAAATCAATAAATGTAAAATTTTCAGTGGCAAAGCAGTATTGGACAGTGAGTCATCCTTGTTGTTGAGCCCTAACCTACACACCACCCACCTAGTCCAAAAAAAAAACAAAAAAACACTAATACAAATAAAAATAGAAAAGCCAACATATACACATATGAATTAAATAAATAAATACATATAACAAACTATCAAGCCCCTAAAGCGACACGGTGAAGGAAAAAAATATGAGATGGGAGGAAAAATTATTTATCAATGATTTTGCGTTGTCTCGCAAATGTATTGTGTTCCCCCAAGAAATGTTAAGTGAGTGTGAACACAGTTTCACGGGGGAACACAAAAGTTGACAAATAATTTTTCCTCCCATCTCATATTTTTTCCTTCACATGTCCCTTTAGGGGCTCCGTAACAAACAAACAAATACACAAAATTGCAAAATAATGTGTGCAGGATTCCTAATAGAATTTCTATTAGATTTTGGAACTAAGACTGCAGATCCTTTTAAAATATCTGAAATTCTTACAACATTTTTATTTGATCTTTATCAGAAACTCAGAATGTCACAGAATGTCCATCCATTATAATGGAAATCAAATCACATAGTTAAATAGTTTAAATGTTATGCATTTTATCTTGCAGGTAATCATTATAGTCCTATTGACAATTGTATGTTCTAAAATACCTAGATTTTGTGTGAAATCCTATGAGAACATTCCCATTATGCTACATTAGGATTCCCTTTAGAAATTCCAATAGGGTTCCTTTATGATTTTTAACTAAGAAGACTGGGAAATATTCCTAACCCTACCTCATTCATATGCTGTGCATGTCTCGCTGTACTGGACCATGTTTGCTCATGTGTTCAATCATAAGGTGTGGTGTGCCGTTACTGGAGCAGACTCACCCAGTACAGGACGTCAGTCCAGCCCTCCATCGTGATGCATTGAAACACAGTCAGCATGGCAAATGCAAAGTTATCAAAGTTTGTGATTCCGTCATTTGGACCCTCCCATCCCATCATGCACTGTGTTAAGTTGGCCGGGGAGCAGTGTCGTCCATGGGCGGAGCTTGGGGCGCAGGGGGCTGGCTTCTCTTCAGATATAGGACCTGAACGAAAATAGGATTTTGTCCGTTTATCTGGGTGAAAACCAGGGGCTAATGACTAGAACAAGGGAGGAACAATTTCTAAAGATAAAGTCCTGACCTTTGTGTCCATCTTTGAAGAAAAAACAGGTTCTGTGCATCTTGCCCATGAAGAGCTCGAGGCCGATGATAGCATAAATGATGATGACGAACAGAACGAGCAGAGCGATGTGCAGGAGGGGAACCATGGCTTTAATGATGGAGTTCAGCACCACCTGTAAACCTGCAACCACAAAGGAAATCATTAAAAAAAAAAACTCAATCATCAAACTAATCATTTTCCTCATGGATGGTTTTCTTTGTTTTATGAATGAAGTGCAAAGTAACTGTTTATACTTTGAATATGATCAATGATCAAATGATCATGTACAGTCAGCTGATCATGAATCTCATAGTGAAGTGAAGCCAGAACAGGTTAAAATGGATGGTCAATTACAGTGTACAGTTTAACAGTCATTATACTTAAGTGTTGAAAAAAACATTTGACTGCCGAATAAAGCAACTGCTTAAACAGAAGTATTCCAGAGAGACACATAATAACGGGTAATGAACAGACACATTCTGGACAAATTTGCCAATCAAAAAGGAAATGGATTTTCCTACATAACAATAAAAAGCTGTGCTTGCACCTGCTGATAACAACAGCTTAATAGAGTTTTGACTTCTGAATTTCTGGGTTGTGATTACTGAATCTAGGCTACATTTTGTAGAATCGTTTCAGATCCTCCCACAGAAAGGACATTTAAATTCATGTTCTCTCTGTTTCTCAGCCCTGACTCATAAACGACTTACTCAGCAATCATCAGATGAGTGTGTGTGTGTGTGTGTGTGTGTTACTCACTAGGTACTCCAGACACGAGTCTCAGAGGTCTCAACACTCTAAAGGCTCGCAGGGCTTTAACATCAAACCCCGCAGCCTTGCCTCCCATTGAAGTCCCACCGTCTCCTTTAGTGGCCTGCTCTAATATTGCACTGAAGAGCCTAAAAGAGAGAATGAAAGAGGAAGTTACTGACTCATTATCATTTTACATTCCAGATTTCAAAATATGTTAACTAATTAAAGTAATGTGTTGTTTAAGTCATTAAATGATAGCAATCTTGACTTTACTCAGGATGCAGCATCATGCAAAATAAAATAGCTTTTCCGACGTGAAAAGTCCATTTGAATTGAAGATGTTTTTCTATTTTGAATGAGACATAGAACTTAACGGTTACATTCAGAAATGACATTCAGACAATTAGTGTGAGTGACTTTTTTGATTGGGAATCCCCCCAAAAACTTTTTTCAGCAGGTCCTGGAAATGAACTATGTTCAAATAAAAGTCACTCATTGTCATCTGCGACAGATGGGGGCAAAGGAGATATATATATATATATATATATACACTACCGTTCAAAAGTTTGGGGTCAGTGAGAATTTTATTTTTATTTTTTGGAGGAAAGAAATCAATACTTTTATTTATCAAGGAATAATTAATTTGATCGAAAGTGACAGTAAAGACATTTATAATGTTACAAAAGTCTTTTGAACTTCCTATTCATCAAAGAATCCAAAAAAAAAAAAAAAAACTGTACAACTGACAGACCAACAACTGTTTCAACATTGATAATAATAATAAATGTTTCTTGAGCATCAAATCCTCATATTATACTGATCTGTGAAGGATCATTTGACACTGAAGACACTGACACTGGTGATGCTGAAAATTCAGCTTTGATCACAGGAATAAATTACACTTTACTATATATTCACACAGAAAACAGCTGATTTACACTGGAATAATATTTAATACTATAACTGATTTTTGTTGTATTTTTAATCAAATAAGCGCAGCCATGGTTAGCAGAAGAGAATTCTTTTAAAAGTATTTAAAATCGTACCGACAACAAACTTTTGAACGGTAGTGTATATATATATATATATATATATATATATATATGACAGCAAATAAAATAATATATATATTTTTTATTACGGCGCAGCTTTTATATTTGCCACTAAAGATGTGCAAACGCAATGATGCTATACACTGACGCGTTATAAAAAGCATTTTTCTTTATTAAAATGATGTTTCCATGATAACTCAAACCATACACTCACTCGTCCATATGTGTCTCAAGGGTTACACAGGGTTCTTGTACTCACCCTACCACCACAATGATGAAATCCAACAGGTTCCAGCCATTCCGCAGGTACGCATTAGGATGACACAGCAGCCCGTATGCAATAACTTTCAGAAACGCCTCCACCGTAAAAATGATCAGAAAGAGATACTCCACCCGTTCCTAAACAGACAAAACAGAGAGAAAGAGGATATTAGTTCTGTAATTGCATCATCTCTAATATCTTTAAACGTAAAGCCGCCCGAAGCTCTGAACCAACATCAGAAAATGTAGAGCCATTTGTCTGCATGACATTTTATTACAGATCAGGCCTATCAGAAGAGAACAGATATCACACGCACAAACACACAGAATGTCGCTGCACCAGAGACACTGTGTTCGAGTGGATTATAGAGCAGAAATGCTGCGTCTGTAAATGCCAGATGAATTTCAGTCTTTGCTGACTGTCTCCCAACTTTCCTGTGAGAATCAAAACACAGACATTCATCTCTGAGGATGTGTCTAGAGCTACAGGACTGTGGGAAAAAAGGGATTTCAGACGTGATTTGTTTCAATGAAGGCCGTCAATTGATTAATTGATAATATTGATTTCATATCAATATTTGCTGGAATAAAAATATATAAAATTGCAATAAATTATATAATTAGTTTTTAATAATAATGAAAGAGACTTAAAAGAGACAAAGAGCTCAACTGTTACTCTCAGAAATAACATTTGGACCATTACACATTCAGTGGGAATCAAAAAAATAATAATATTAAGATAAAGGTCAAAATAGTTTCTACACACAGAAGGGAGAACATTAACTTGGAAATTACCATAAATGTCATTGTAGCTGAGTTTTATTTAAAAAAATAAAAAATCTGCTGGCAATTTCCTTTGTGGAGGGGATAGTGGACTGAACATCATGATAAGCCTTCATTTTAAGGAACTAGTCAATTTAAAACTTCAACACATGTAGATGATTCACTGCAAAGCTGCACTCTGAATCAAAACCACTTAATTCAGATGAGAAAAACATGTTTCTTAGTAACAGAAACACTAGTATACAGAGCCAATTGTTGCTTACATTTAAAATGCATTAGTCACTTTTTAACACAAACTTTTAAAAAAAAATTTTGAACACGAGAGTAACACATTAAGCAAATGCAGCTAATTAATGAGTCCAATAAATGTGTCTGCTGATTTTATATATAATGTTATAATATAATATATATATATAATGACCTTTATCATTTCAAATTATTTTTGTGTTCATAAGAAAAAAAAACAGCAGCACATGGATTTGCAACAATAAAAATATAGAAAACCGCTACATGTGTGTTAATAATGATGGATTTTCAACAGATATTGAACAGGAGCAGAATGGTGTTTAGTTTGTGTGGAATCACATTTTAAATCCAGCCGCTTTAAAAACAGGGTTAAATGATCCTGTTATCACCTACTTTACTGTACACTAAACTCTGAGATCCGGAATCAATCCGAGGCTCTTAAATTAATTAAGCTCAATTACTGACAAGAGCCCTCGGTCATCAGCGCAATCAACGCCACAGCAATCCATTACACACACACAGACAGACAAACACACACACAGACACGCACACACACGCACACGCAATCTAACAATTACATTTAAATAGACAGATGAATCTGCTGTATTAGATTTAATCATGGATTCACAATTTGATATCCTGTTCTCTTCATTCCCTCTGTGTTCTACAATGTGACTGGATAAGACGTATCCATGCAGTCTAACTAGAACACATTCAATCTTGCTTGACTCCACCCCTTTTCTCCTGTTTTGCTGTGTTTGTGGATGTAGGAGGTCAGAGGTCGTGGGAGCTGCACTGAGACGGTCTAGTCCCCTGAGATCTGTTTGGGTCTACAGAACAAAATAAGGCCTCCAACTATTCTCTCACTGAGAGAGACAGAAATATTCCCATGGCTTGACCTGTCAACAGTAACTTTTACCAAATACGATAACTGTAGGGATCGTCAATCTGTCCTCAACAGTTCATGGGTCTTCCCAAAATCCGGATTTGGGCCCATAAGTTCTCAGATCCATTCAAACTACACAACCTGCCAGAATCCTCTTCTTTCCTGCACATCAGTAACAAGTACAAATTGGTTGTGTAAAGAAAATGGAGTGGAATAATGCTGGAATGACTCTTGATTGTGCTCCACTCACTTTGTTTAAAGGGATCCTTCCTGAGTAATCAAATTTGCAAAGGTTTGATGTACTATAAAAACATACTGTATGTTCAAAACTGCCCAGTACTTCTCAGTCCAAAGAGACCATATATTGAAGCTAAGCTACAAAAAAAATCAACTCCAATTTCCAAAATTAGCTGGAATCTCATGCAATCTCATTCACATGCAGAGGACTTTACATAGGCTATGCGTTTTAAAGCCATATAAACAAAAATCATCCAGTTTAATTCTAAGTGTCAGAGAGAGGGTGGAAAATAGTCAATAGAAAACTTTTTTTATTTTATTACTGATAGCATTATGTGGACCTGGGGGGAAAAATGAACTGCATAAATCATGAAAAGATCCTTTTTAAACCAAGCATTACTTCTTTAAAGAGTCAATATTCTCTCAAAATTCTTTCAGTATTCTCTCCACCAGCCTTAATTTGTGCTAAACACATCTATATATCAGTCCATCAGGGGACAATATCATGCCTATCACAACAGTCCCATATCTAATCTCTCCTTGTGAGGTATCTGTGAGGACAATGAAGATAAAGATAAAGTGTGTGTTTGTGTTTATGTGTGTTATGACTTCATAATTATGAGTTTACGCTGCATATCCTTCAGCAAGACTGACCGGCTGCTCTCTGAAAGACGGAGCGAGAGAGACAGAGAAAGTGTAAGTGAGAGAGAGCGATTTACAGGGCTACTCACTCATGCCCATAATTGCAGCAATAGCACATTTAAAAAGGTCAATTTAAGCCTGGAGTAGCGTAAGATATCCGTGTGAGTGAGAATGTATTATTAAGACTCTTAGAAGGCGAGACGTGTTAGTTCCTTTGAACCAGCTGGCACAGAGACAGACACACACACTCAGAGGCATCTAGCACAGTGTAACTCTGCGCACTCAGGTTCTGCCTCTGATCCAGGACCTTTCCCGGACACACACATGTTGGGTTTTCATGTATTATGGGGACTTACCATAGACACAATTATTTTTATACTGTACAAACTGTATATTCTGTCCCCCGACACTAACCCTACCCTTAAACCTACCCATCACAGAAAACTTTCTACATTTTTACTTTTAAGAAAAAAACTCATTTAGTCTGATTTATAAGCTGTTTTCCTCATGGGGACCAAAAACTATACCCACAAGGACAAGGATTTCGGATATTGCCATCTTTGTGGGGACATTTTGTCCTCATAACATAGGGTTTACCAGGCTACACACAAACACACACACATATAACATATAACAGTATCATAAAAGTGGTACATCTGACTTTTGCACCACATTGCAAATGTTCACCTATGATAGTTTTGTGTTAGAAATCGTGATAATCTTTATCTCAACCTGAAATTTACTACAGAGCCTCTAAGGGGAGTATATAAAAAACAGGCACATAAGAAATGTTTTAGTTTTACATTCCCCTGAGAAACTTTGCATTGTTTTTGGGCAAATGTAACATTTCTTGGGGGAACGTAAAACTTTTGCGAGCGAATGTAAACTTTCTTGAGGGAACACATAAGTTTTTCGAGTGAATGCAAAACAATCATGATATAATTTATCCTTCCATCTCATATTTTTTTCCTTTAGTGGCTCCAATCATTTGCGTTGACGTTTAGAATAAAAAAGGGCACACTGAGGAGTGCCATCAGCTTTGACGTAATTGTCGTCAAATTCCATTCGTTTTTGAGTGTTGTATTCAAACAAGATGCACCAGTCTGAATATGTGGAAGGAAAAACATTTACTTTATGTTTTTTCATCCTTTTTTGAGCTTGTAAGCCGTGAGCAGCACTATAAAATGTTGTTATATGAGGGGGGAAAATGACAGAATATTACTTTTTGGGTATTCCTTTAACTCGCATCTGCACAGGAACAGCAATTAAGTTGTTTAACTGGTTTGCAACCCATCCCTTTCTTTTTCCACTCTCTAAAAAGTGAGCAACAACGATGCAGGCAAACAAAATAGATGAGAGAAGACATGATAAAAGAATCGAAGGAAGAGCAGAGAGGCAAAAATGAGAAGTAAATGAGAGGAGGAGGGGAGAGATGGAGGGATGCAGACAGGAGAGGTGAGCTGTGCGGCTCTCTGGATGACAGTCACGATAATTCAATTTTCTGTGATGGGTGCACAAACGGGGCCGCGAGCCAATCAAATTACAAGGAGCTGCTCGGGGGACAGAACCTCCCGATCTTTGTGACCTTACCTTTATGCCCAGTCTGTCTGTAACCAAGGTAACAGGATTTGCGGTCAGCAGATGCCATGTCAGACACACCTACCCACAAGTCATTTCTGACGGACAAATGATGTCACAAAGCAACACACTGTTCCTTAGTTAGGGACACGGCAGCTTATAGAAACACTCTTTTTGTCTTGACAGCATGGACAAAATAAAGTGGACGGGAACAAGTGAATGAAGACGCAAGCCAAATTCAAACTCGGACACATGCACTAACTTCTAAACCACGGCTCCGGCAACAGGCTTTGCATCTGGTACGTTCCTGCTGGGTTTGCGTAAGTGCTTGTGTGATCATTTGGTTACAGCTGTGACATGCTCTTCATTTGTATCGGGTTTATATTCCCACGTGGCCGAAGAACCTGCGAGAAACGACATGATGAATTAGGAGATTTTAGTTGAAGTCCTGACTCAGATTAAATATTGACTGTACGCACAGAGTTAAATAGTGCTCTCGGGAGCCGTACACGTTGCAAAACCCACAGCATGCTGCTGTCAGTTTCCATGACAACCAGAGCCCATCTTGGTCTCCATGGAGACAGCTGGTGAGCAGCAGCCTGCTGTGAATCCTGCGTATGCGTGTAAGTGTTCGCACGTGTGTGGCTCGGCTCATTTCACTGAGGAAAGCCGCTCTCCGTCGTTACCCCACGCCACACTGCGACAGGAAGTTACACGGCCACATGCGTGCTTACCACACCTGTAGTCAACACACAAGGAAGCTTTC